TGGAGTCTTGTTTAGTTTTCTTATATTATCATAACTACACTCTAGTGGTGGTGAGTGGTACTTACTATTCACACCAGTTGTTCAGACTGAGGGATAGGACTAGTTATCGTATATAGGTTGCTCATTTTATAAGTCTCCCATTATAAACTTTAGGTGTGATGGGCAAATGTAGGAGCATCGATAGAACAATTAGCTTATTATTCACTAGTTGAGCATTGTGCTCTAAGAGCAGAGATAGTGAATTAGAGTTAACTTCCAGGGGTCACCTCGTCCACCTGTGGTCTCCATGCTTGGCTTTGTAACGTTCAACATTTATCTCCTCAGATGAACTTGGACAGTGCAGTGATCAAGCCTGAGGAGAATGACAATATTTTTGCACGACCAGATCAATATTTAGAAAAGCTCTCGTTGGGTTTAATGTTGGGCCCAACCCAAAAAGTTACACTTTGACTGGAATAAATGTAGATTCTTGCCCTTGGTTTCTGAAAAGTGACTGAATAAATAAGGGATGGTGGAGTGAACAGTGAAATGAGAGAGCACCCACAGCTAACCCTACTTCCGGCCACACTGATAAAACATGCGATATGGACAGCAGTTGTCTGTGTCCTTCCCTGGGGTGAGTGCAGATGGTTTGAGTTGTGCTAGACACTCCAACCAACACAAGGGGAACCAGATGGCAAGGAGGCGGTTGAAGAATTGCTTAATGACTAGCAAGAGGGGTTGGAGATAAGCAGACGGTTGTGATGTCTTCATCAATGTGAGAGCATTGTCCCGCTTAAGAGGACTTAAGTGAATCCTGTGAAGCTTCAGAGGGTAGAATTTCTGTCCGTAGAAAGAAGATAAAGGAAGGCGGTTCACAGTAGGAAGAATCTTCCTAACCAGTTCCTCTTTTCATAAATGGAATGGCAGCCCTGGGAGGCCGCGAGCTCCCCACAGCTGGGGGTGCTCGAGCGGAGTGATACTTCAGAGGAGAGTCTTGGGGGTGGGGGGGAGATTGAGTTAGATGACCCCAGAGGCCACGGCCAGCTGAGATTTGGCGATGTGAAATGACCCATTCAGTTGCTTCGTTTTCTCATCCTGAGTACAATTCTGGTTCGTGAGTGTGTTTTTTCTCCCCATATAGAGATAATCTGTTCTACAAATCTCATAATTCTGCTGGAGGATGAAATCTTTGCTGATTTTTTCAACACGTTTCTTTCTCTCCCGGTAAGTTTTCTCACTCGGACTTAAATCCACATGTTTCATCAGCAGACAAGTAGTGAATCTCACTGAGCCATGTGCCTTTAAAAAAAAATAAATAAACTTACCAAATAAAAACTTTTCACTTTGAGCAAGCAAATATGAATCAGAATTTCCTTTAAATATTCAGGAGCTTCCCATCATTGACATAATCCAATCCTAAGTCCCCACCTCCTTAATTGCCTTTACCTGCCCATCACACCCTCTGCCGGTACCCAGTAGTCCACCAAAGGAGCCCCCCTGGCATTCTTCCTCCTCTGCACCTCTGCTGAGCTGGGTTCTTAGTTTCTGTAGTTCCACCGTCCAAAGTCTTAACCATTTGTCAAATCTCTGCTTAAGTCCTGTTCTCCTTAAGGAATTCCCAGGTGTCCTTCCAATGGGACTTATTTTCCCTGCCTCTGTGCCCCTTAGCACTTTGCGACTAATAAAATGTCTTAGTATTACTTCTGAAAACTTTCAGGACACTGGTGGAGGTAACAGTATGCGTGAGGATCACCCCCAAAGACCTGCTCTTAGAGGTCTCTTCCTCTTTCCTCTTTTTACCATGTTGCTGGCACCACCATCCATCCAGGCAGCCAAGCCTGTTACCCCAAAACCCCTCCCTCTTGTTACCGCCTCTCCCCAACCTTCAAACAGTGAGAGGTCTGGCATTTTGCTTTGTAAAAAATCTCTCCTATCTGTCCCATCCTTTTTGCCTTTAGATCCTTATCACCTCCCACCTGGTTCCCTAGGTCACAGGCTCTGCTCCATGACAAAAGGCTAGAATTATCTATCAGTTTTGGACACCTAATGCCCCCATAAGTAATCAGTACCCCTAATCTTCATATCCTTGGTCCTTTCTACTTTCTCCAGCTCAAGAGTTCAGGCAAATCCAAAGCTGTTTCTCTTTATGAAAGAGTTTAGACCTTTGGCTTTAGCCAATTAATACACAAAATACACAAAAGTCAACACCTTTTAATAGCTTGGGCTTTGGCCTTTGCACACAGGCAAGATAACTCCCAGGTCGAGGCAGGGCAGCGCCAAAAGATAAACAAATCTTGTCATTTCGTCTACTTTGGGTGTTTTGGGGCAAGGCAAGTTGATTCAGTGGAGTACATTTAAGAATGAATGTCCCCTGAAATAGGAAAGCAATAGAACCTCTCTTCCCCTGTGGCTGCGATGTCCCGTGACATGTTTGTGAGTAGAAGCTCTACCCCTTTGGCTGTTTCCTAGTTTTCTTTTGCAGGTCTTCGGTCAGACGCCATTTTATACAGTTGAAAATGCACAGTGGAGCTTGTGGCCAGAAATACCTCATGACTTGGTGAGTAAGGGCCTTACTTCAGTGGCGGCGGTCTTGGGGTGGGGGGCTGAGGGAGCTGAATGGGAAGTGTGATTGGGAGAGGGAGAGGGAGAGGGGGAGGGAAAAAGGAAAGCAGGTGAGTAGAGCAAACAGTATCAAGCCAGTTAGACATTTCTCCTTTGTGCATTCTTATCACTTGGCCAAGAGGTGCTGGTGAGTTCCTTCTTTTATATTCCAATCAGTGGTTAGCAAATGGGACTTCATCTGTCATGCTCACTGTGACTGGTTGGGTAGTAGATGCTTGAAGCACTGTGTTGAAAAGAACTCTGAGGCCACACCTAAGCCAGAAAGAGTCTGGGAATTGACTGGCAATGCCTGACGTGGGTGTGGGGTAGGCAGTCACAGTCCATGGGCTACTACGTAGTAATTTGCATGATAAGGTGTAGCTCAAGGTCAGATGCCACTCTGCAATTCCTAATACCTACTCCACCACTCTCCTCCAGAGATTTGTCTCACTTTTCCCTCTTTATATCCTTTTTCCTTGTCCTCATCCATTGTCTTTCTCTTTCCCTTCTCCCCCTTCCTGTTACTAGTATCCTTTTTCACCGTATAAATGTTAGACATACCAATGGCTTCCACATACCCTACCGGCGGCAGATAGTCTCAGAAAGATCATCTTAATCCCTGCTCACAGCAAGGTTTTGTTTTCCCCTGGGATCTGGAGAGCTGAGAAAGACACCCCACTCTGATTGTTACATTTAGTATTCCTAGAACTCAGAAACGTAAACATTTTAGTTTTTTCTCCTTTCTCTGGTGGCTCAGTGTCTCAGGGATCCATCCTGTACTCTAAATGATGTTATGTGTGAGTCTTTGTGTGTTTTTGTACACGCTGTGCAGTTGATATGGGTTGGGAGCCTGCAAAATATTATAAATGTGCTTATAAAGAAGCACATTGAATAGAGTTATGACTCAACACCAAAGTCTCTTCTGCTCTTCTATCAAGCAAGACTTAGATCTTATTTCAAAATGGATATTTTTATTGATTTCAGAGAAGAAGGGAGAGGGAGAGGGAAAGAGATAGAAACATCAATAATGAGAGAGAATCATTGATCAACTGCCTCCTGCATGACCCCCACTGGGGATTGAGTCTGAAATCTGGGCATGTGCACTGACCAGGAATTGAACCGTGACCTCCTGGTTCATAGGTCAACGCTCAACCACTGAGCCACATCAGCTGGGTGACTTAGATCTTTTTTTAAAACAGCTTCACCCACGAATATTTTTTTTTGTACCAATCCATTCATTCACTCCTTTGGGAGCCTCAGTTCAAGTCTTCAGTTTCTTTAGGTTCTATTTTTAATCTCTGGGCCAGATTCAGCAAGTGTTAGGTTATTTGTTGCCCTTTTCTAAGCTGCATTTCTTAGTTCAGTTCCATTTCTCTTTTCTGTTCCTATTTTGTTTGGACTCTAGATTCCAAAGTACAAAGGATTATTGACCTGGCTGGGAAAATACCGGTTACCTTTCTTCTGTAAAACCAACTTGTGTTTCCATTACATTCTTTGTCAAGAGCTCATCAGTTTCATTAATTCCCCAGAAGGAGGTAAGCATGAAGGTATAAATATGAAGAAATATGGGAAGCCAGGCTGTGTGTTAGTCCTACAGTAACATACAAATAGTGGCTACTTTTATAGCCTTAGACATGCAGGTGGCTCGGTCTGTGTTGTGACAATAGGTAAAATCTTGAGCTGGAAAATTGTTACCTAGATCAATAAGCAGGAGTCAAATGGGCTGGCTATTGTCTCACTACATTCATAAATGAGAGAATGAATGGTGGCCACAGAACATGACAAAATTGCCTGAACTCTATGCAAAATCAAACATATCTCACCACCTTCATGGCCACCACCTGGTCTAAGCCACCATCATTTCTCACCTGGCCACTGAAATCATCTTAGACTCCTTGGTTCTGCTCTTGTTCTGCTGCTCAAAGCAGTCAGGGTGAGCCTTTCAGCATTTAATTTAGATCATGTCATTCCTCTACTCACCACCCACCACCCACCACCCCTGCACCAATGGCTGCTTTCTCAGTGTGAAATCCAACAATGGCCTTCAAGGTCCTAGAGACCTGGCCTCATTTCCCTTCTGACCTCATCTCCTCCTATGCCCCTCCTCAATCACTCCATTTCCACCACATTGGCCCTCTTGCAGTTCCTTAAACATGTTAGGCATATTTCTATTTCAAGGCTTTGCACTTTGCACTGGCTGTTTACTCTTCCTGGAATGCTCTTCCTCCATATCCACATCTCATCTCCTCAAATCTCTGTGAAGTTCTCACCTATTCCATGAAGACCATAATGCCCACTTGTCCAACCTCTGCCTTAGCACTCCAAACCCTTCTCTACTTTTTCATTTTTTCCTGTAGTGCTTCAACTTTTCCAGATAATGTTCTTGTTATACTGATTGTTCATTGTCTGTCTCATTCACTAGACTATAAGCTCCTTGAGGGCAGGGGTTTTTGTTGTTTGCTAATGTATCCCAAACACCTAGAATGGTACTTGGCACTTAGTAGACATGTAATAAATATTTGTTGAAAGAATGAATGAATAAAATCTCCATCTAGGATTGAATTGGTAACTTTACTTTCAGCTCAACTAACCAAAGGAAATCAGATATGCTCCACCCAGGGAAGGTTAAGATCCAGGAGATCCCATTGAGTAAAATGTTGTAACAAATCACTGCTATGCTCTCTCTCTCCTGCGATATACGTATTGGGGATATTGGGTTGGTAGAATTACTGCCATGAGGGGACTGTAGAAGGCAAAGGGCCTTGGTTGGAGGGTGTTTTTGATTTTGGATTGTACGTGTGCTTGTGGGTCTCTCACATGTCACGTGATGCATGTCAGTAGAGGGTCTGGTGCCTAGTTTCAGAAGCACCACATAATCAGGACCCAACTCATCTAACTATCCACCATTTCTCCTCACTGAGCGAATGGGGGTCTGACCGTGCGTGAGGCTGAGAGAGGAGCCGAGGACAGAGCTCACTCTCTCTCACCATGGACTTTTTCTGGCAGCCAAGATGATGAGATGGAAAAAGGCAGACCAGTGGCTACTCCAGAAATGCATTGGCGGGGTCAGAGGGATGTGGCGCTTCTGTACCTACCTCAAGGGCAGTGCAGGTGGGTTCTTGGAGTTCTTCCTGGGGCCTTTGCAAGTTCTCAACAGTTTCTAGGATGCCCCAGAGCACTTACTGACAGTTCTGTGCGTCTATGGTGAATATAAAAAATGACTTATAATGCAGTTTGAGTAAAGTCTTTTAAAACTGGGATCCATAGTGTAGGTTAGGGCAAACGCAATCTGAGTCCCTTTCGCTCACTCATTTGTTCATTCATTCAACAATGGTGATTGAGCACCAGTCTGTGGCAGCCACTGTGCTGGTAGGTGGGGATACAACGGTGAATGAGAGGTATACTAAATCCCCACGTCATAAAGCTGCCACGATGGTGGGGAGACAGACAAGGAACAAGTAAATAAATAAATCCTTGTGGCGAACGTGTTGGGATGCATCGATTTCTGCTCTCTTGGGTCCAGTAGTTGGTGGATACTGGGAGGCCAACAGCTTGGACAGTTCAGTAATGTTAAGTTTTACTCAGGGACAAGCCCTGGTTTAAGGGTGAAATCCTGGATCTCCAAGGAACACTGAATCTCCATCATTCAGTTTGTCACAAGGACTTCAGCCCTGACAGTTATAAAACAGAGAACAGAGTGTTTGGCACGTTTTGGCCCCTGTGTCCTTCTGCTAGCTACTCTGGGTTCATAATCTTGGAAATTTGCTTTTCCCTCTGTCTTTATTTTTTGGACCAAACTCAGATGTCTCATGATCCATCTTCAGATTCATGCCGTTTTTCTTAAAGTGACAGTTTTTCTAACAAAAAAGTCACAAAAGATCCCTATCCATTAATTCCCTTCCCCCATGACTCCCATCTGCCCCCATATTAGGACATTTCTGGAGATGGTGCCTTGACCCAGAGGAGTGGCTAATGGTGATGTTGGAGGCAGTAGAGCAGGTGGGTGGAGGGGGTATCAGCTGCCACACCCAGATGCAACCACTGAAGGGGATAGATAGGGGTGTAGCTCTGTGCCTCCCCTGTCTGGTCTGTAGGTGAAGAGCTGGTGGATTTCTGGATCCTTGCTGAGAAGATCCTGGGCATAGATGAGATGGACTTGGAATTGAGAGACCACTACCTATCTCTCCTCCTTGTGCTGAAGGCCACCCATCTTCAGGAGGGCTCACGGGTAGTGACCCTCTGCAACATGAACATCAGTAAGGACTATAAAGTGTATCTGAAGTAAAATCCCTGGGAGATGTAACCAAAGAAATCAATCCAGTGTCTGATAGCCCTCAGTCTCTTGCTTTGCACACTGCCACCCTTTCCATCTTCTGTGCATCAGGGATGCCAGTGGGAGACCCAACCCATAACAGGGGAGGGATGAGAGAGACCATTTGTCCTTAGGCTGATACTGGCCTCTTCCTGAGCTTTTACTTGCCAGTGATGTTTTGCTGGATGGAGTGAAGAGGAATTGGAACAAGGTAATTGCATACCTCCTCCATCTTCTGAGCCTGCAGGGCTTGTCTTTTTTTCTTTTTCTCTTGTTTTTCAATTGGGATTCTTTAGAATAAACTGCAGCCCACGGGTCAAGTGAAGTACATGTGGCCTGTGAACTAAGAATGTTTTTATATTTTTAAAGGGTTAAAGAAGACGAGTGTGCAACAAAGACTGTAGGTGGCCCACAAAGCCTGAACTATTTACTAGCTGGCCCTTCACAGACAAAGCCGCCAACCTCTTCTCTAGAACAGCCAGTGAGGAGGCATTGCTAACCCAAACACAAATGTGTTCCAGATTTGCTCTTTGGGATTAGTCACTCTACTCTGAATTCATAGAGAGAATTGAGAATTGATGGCATTAAAATCAGGGCTAATAAAGACTCCTTCAAATTATTGTCCAAAGTCCTTCCTCCTGTCAGATCTGATCCCGAGAAATCCCATTCAGAGGTACATGTTCTTATATAAGTTTTCATGTGATGTTTGCTTTTCTTTACAATAACATTCCGTAGTCTAAAAAATAACTTGAAGAATCCCCTAGAATGACTTATTTATCTGGGGAAAAAGGAAGGTAATCAGAGAAAGGGGTCACTGTGCTGAGCAAATCATAAACTTGCATCCACCATATATTTGACCTCTTCACATCCTTGGGTTGCGTGAGGAACCAATGAAATTCTAATCAAAAAACATTCGGAAAAACTTCAAAAGCTCACTGGCGCCACATCGTTTTTCATCTTCCATCTCTCTGTCTTCTTTCCAGAGTCTCTCTTGAACCTTTCCATCTGGCATCCCAACCAGTCAACCACCAGGCGGGAGATCTTGAGCAACATGCAGAAAGTGGCTCTGTTCAAACTCCAGAGCTATTGGCTTCCCAACTTTCACATCCATGCCAAGACCATCATAGCTAAGGAGGAGACATGCCAGCATCTGATGCAAGAGTATGAGACTCGCCAGTGCAGTCTTTGCTGTTCCCATTTAGGAGAGCTCCCTCTGAACATGAGCATCAAGAAGTCCTGCCACCCCCAGAGGCGGTACTCGAGCAGGAAGATCAAGCAGAAGATGTGGCAGTTGATAGATCATGCCTCGTGGTCTCTAGAATTGGATACCAAGCCAGGCGACAATTCCACGTCCTCCCAGGAGATCTGTCCTCAGGAGAAAGTGGTTGTACACATGCCTTCCCTGAAAAAGGCCTCTTCAAAGGAGGGAATAACCAGTTCCCTGGAAAAGGACAGTCTCAGTGCCAGGAAGTCCAACATGAAGAAGAAAGCCAAGAGCCATCTCCACATGGAGGGCCTCTTTGAGACAAAGATCTCTACCCACCTGAGGACGGCCACCCCCATCATCCGTCACTCCCCCCATTTGACAATCAAGGGGGCCATCAAGAAAAGACTCTCCTTGGGGTACACCCACTGGGCCTTGTGTGCTGATGCCTTTGCAGGGAGTCCCTTCCGGGACCACCTGAAGAAGCTGAATTTGAAAATGGAGATCCAACTCCTGGACCTCTGGCAGGACCTGCACCATTTCCTCAATGTCCTGATGAATAACAGGAAGACTGGGAATGCCATCTTTTGGCACATACTGGGCAACCGGATCTGTGAGCTCTACCTGAATGAACAGATTGGTCCACGCTTACCACTCAAATCCCAAACCATTGAAGGTCTGAAGGAGCTGCTGCCTTCTGGGAATATGAACCCCTGGATACCCAAAGCCCAGGAGGAGATCTGCCAGGTAAGTCACACCTTATCGACATGGGTTAAGATCTGGAAGATTGGGTCAAAACTGACCTGAAATCCTATCTGCTCATCTATACTAAGTTAATGATATAATTACCCATATAACCCTTCACCTATTGAAGAGTCTGTTACTTTTTTAGGAGCAGGCTGTACAAATTCCCAAGAAGCAGCCCAAACGCCAAAGTAGAATGGAGGTGGGGGAGTGGTCAATATCCACCTTTTATTCCTTCTTCAGTTCCCCCTTATGTGGAGTCTCCCAAAACCATGAACCTCTGAGTGTTCCACCGAGGGAAGTTTTAATAACTCTGTTCTGAACATCATGTATTAGAATGCAAGGTCTTTCTTTCCTAGAATAGCCAACAAGAAAATGGCCAATGGAGAAGGGTTTATTCTTATCCCAAAACATGAGATAAAAGCAGGACACCATCCTAAAGACTCACAGGAAGTAAGGCCCATTGCTTGATTGTTGTATCATCAAGATCTTGGGAGAAAACAAATGGCAGAGTCAGCTGGGAAACAGATGAGCATCCAATAAAAGGGACTAATTATGAGGTAGTGGGCACGAGAGCAGGGAAACTACAGAGGATAGTGCAGTACCCCAGGGCCAGTAATGGTGGATCACCTTTATCACTCTTAGGCCAGAAGAGTGGAGGAGAGGGAATGGTTACCAGAAGAGCTATATGGAATGGAGCGCTCGGCAGGAGCTGTAATTGTCAGTAGAGGGATGTAGCCAGTCCATAGTGATCTGGCTGGGAGGAACCAAGGGGAATAGATATCGGCTCCTGCCTTCCCATCTCCTGTCAGGACTCCTGACTGGATAAACCCAACCAGAGGTCATGGGAGCTTGTTGATGTGGTCCATACAGGTTCATTTCCCAAGGCATAAGCCCGGTAAAGGAAGGGTAGTGAGTAGATCTGGAAGGGCAAATAGATATAAGTAGCAAATTTTTTAGTGCGTTATAATTTATTCACCTTATAAAACACATTACCTCCTCGAGGCTTCCTAGCACCTCTCAGAGGCATACAGGGTAGTATTGTCATTTGTACAAGGAGGAAAGTGAGACTCAGAGAGGGTAAGTGGATTAGCTCAAGGCACACAGCAGACTGGTAGAAGAACCAGAGGGCAGAACCCAGGAGTTCTTGGCTCTAAGTCCAGCACAATTTCCAGCACAGAATAATTATCCAGGGTTGCACATCTGGGTTGTATAGGACCAGATCAGTCCAGTGGATCCACAGCCACAGCTCTCCTGCGCACAATTCTTCAGTCCTGGAAGTCTAGAGGCCCCTACCTCTTGTGAAATGTGTTCCCTCCGCTCCGCTCCCAGGGAACTTTGTCCACACCTCTATGGTGGCATGTGCCGTCATGCTAGAAGGTGAGCTCCTCGAGAACCAGGCTTGTAGCATATTGATCTGTATATTCTCAGCAATGGGCCCGGTGTCTGGCACGTGGGAGGCACTGAGAAAGTACTCATCAGATAAATAAATGAATGAACGTGAGGGTATAGATAGATAAACCTAGCTAAGCACTAACGCATAGCTTTCTGTTGTTATTATTGAGCTTTGTTTGTTTATTTATTTTAATGTAATGAAATAATTTTCACAAGTGGGCAAGGTCTTCAAGGAGGAGATATTAAGAGTAGACACTCCAAAAGAAGATGGTTGGTTTTCAGGACAATTTTGAGAATCAGATGAGATAGTACTTTGGAAAGGAACAAAGATTTAAGAGGTGTCAAATAACTGTCCTTCAGTAAACTATTTGTTGTACCTCTTCTTAAGTAAGTATGGGTTACTATCCTCTGAGTTTCAGAGAGAGGCCGTGTGAGCTGCAAATTTAGAAAGACAGAGGAACGTCCTGGTTGGTCATGGCTAATGTTTGCTATTCCATTGTATCTCCAAACTAGAGACTCCGAAATCGGCAGCCTACACTTCTCCCAGGTAAACAACCAGCAGGCCGAGCACACCTCCTAACGCTTATGTCCTTATGTCGTGTTTGAATTGCAGATGCTCAGCTCCTGGTATGAGGAATTCCTGAATGAAGAGGACTCCTCGTTTCTCACTTATGCAGTAGGAGGGGCTTTGAGTTGGGGACAAATCCTAAGGTTGAGGGAAGAAAAGAGAGTAACTGCTCTTTTAGAAGCCTTATTCTTTAAAGTCAATGCAAGTCTGATATTTTTTTTTCCTAGAGGCTACTGGGGGGGTTGACATGGTCCCTGATGCTTAAACATAAAGCTCTCAAGGCAAAAGACTCAAGTGCCTAAGCTGACTTTAAAAGAGTCACATTCACATCGAATGTCTCCGTTATAGGAAGTGGGTTTGCAATGGATCTGAGCAAATTGAAAACCACCAGCCTCAGTCCGCCTGACAGGGAGACACAGGAGGACTGGGCTGTTACAAAAGTCTTGCTTCTGGTCTAGTTCCTGTAGCAAATACTGTCTGTCCCCCTCCCCATTCTCTTAGACTCAGACCAGCGTCAACCACACGAGGAGGCATAAGAAAGACGCTATAAGCAAACAAGAGAACATTCTTCTTTATAAGAGATTGGAGGAGTCCCTGGCATTAAGCCAGGGTCTGGCTAACATGGAGGAAATGGATTCTGTGCAGTGGAGAAAACTAGCGACTGAGGACCTGAGACATGACGGGTCTCTCCGGGTGGAGCTGAAGTCTCCAGTGTTTCTGACAGGTGAGGGCCGTCACCATAGTTTTTTCGACCCCTGACACATAGGCATCTGGGAACTATGGAGCGTTAACATCTAGGGGTTATTTACTGTGTGTCAGCACTGTGCAATGCAGGAAGCAGCCGATCGATGCTTCACTCTCACTCTCCCTCTCCTTTCCTCTCTCTAAAAATCAATAAAAATTTTTTTTTTTAAAATAACACTCAACTCTTGAAATCTTTGCCTTGCACAGTGCACTTTATATACAAAACAAGATGCCCTGGACGCTGGCCCCTCAGAGCTGTGCCTGAGCACGAGTTATTTAAATCTACCGTGATCAGGCCCTCTGTTTTACCTAGAGTTTCACCTTCTCTCTAAATCCCGAACATTCCAGAACCTCTCCCAGAAATGTAGAAAGAAGTGGGAGAAAGGGTAGCTGGTAAATATCATAACACCATACAGGGCAACAGGCATTTCTTTAGTGGCCAGGAGTGTCAGGGGCAGCCAGGAAGAGGGAACCACCCTCCATGGAGACCCCCCCGTCCTGTCCCCCCCCCCCTGCAGCACACATGATGGTTTCATCCACCGCTGCATTTTTGGAACACGGGTCTGACCTGATAAGGGCCTCCTGTGCATTTGTCCATCTTGGAGCTCTGTCTGCTCAGGAGGCTGATGCCTCTACTCAGGCTGCTCCAGAAACTCACAGAGCACCAGAACTAGAGTGCTCTCAGCTTTCATGCAGAGGAAATTGGTCCCAGAGAGGTGGAAAGGTTGCCCGAGGATGCTCAGCAAAGGAGGACAGAAACCTAGATCTTCTACAGAAATAAGCCACCGCTCTTGCAACTTACAGCCAGACACCCTTGGCTAAGAGGCACTATTGACAACAGTGGCAATTGTCATAAGGACAACTGACATCTGTGAGTGTACACACTAGGATTCCTTCTGGACTTCACCAGTATCACTCAGAAAGCACTGCACTGCCCTGTGGAGTTCCAGGACAACTGGGTGTGCCTGGGCAGAAGGTCCCCACGGGTCAGGTGTCTCCAAGAAGGACAGAATCCTCCCACGCTGGAGGGGTGGCCCACGGTCTTTCCTTGCTTCTAATTTGGTTTAGAGAACTTGTGTTCCTTGCACATAGACATTCCATTAGAACATTATTGTCGTACTTAAATAATATGTAAAAGGCAATACTTTCAACAAAAGCATATAAATCTTTGACTCCAGAGTGGTCAACTAGACTCTCCCCTGTTTTTCTCTACTTGATAGATATAGAGAAAATGTCCTTTGAGGAACTCTGCTACAAGTATCCGAAGGTGGCCATAGAGAAGATAAGTGAGGACTACAAAATATATTGTAAAAAAGCACCTACTAGTAAGATGGGTAAGTGTTTAAACCCACAGAAAGATTGGAGACAGCCCAGGACGAAAGACTCTCCCAACACAATGAGCCAAAAACCAAAAGGGGAACCGTGCTTTGTTTGCAATGAGGGATGGTCTGACTGTCTCCCAGCTCCTGCCCCCTCCTACAAAGTCATAGAAGGGCATCGTGAAAATGAGATGCAGTGATAAGTGAATGAGGATGAGGATGAAAATAGTTAATTCCTGCCTTCTTGCCTAGTTATTACTCTGGGCTTTTAAATAATGCAGATTTATCTTCTGCAAAGTTCCCTGGAGTCAGAGATTTATAGAAGGAGGTTTGTTGGGAATAACACCTATAAGGGAATGGGAGGAAAGCAACACTGGGCAGAGGTAGGCAGTTACAGTAGACCTCCTCAGATCCTTGTAAGAAGCTGGAGAGCCAGGTGACACTTGAGCATGGTCCCTCACTGAGGCAAGAGGCTTTTATAACGTCTGTATCAACTCACATGGGGTGTGGCTGTCCCTCAGGAGGATCTGACCTTGCTCAACCACTGAACCACACTGGCCAGGCCACATATTTTTGACATTTCAGCCACATTCCCCATGTCTCATTGGCTTTCCTCTGTTTTTTCATATTTCTTTTTTCTCTCTTTGTTTCAGTATAGATATTTTCTTTGGGTCTTACTCCTAGTTCAACAATACTCACTCAGCTATTTATAATTTATCATCCTACCCATTTCTTAACTCTCAATTTTCTACATTTCAGTCATTAAACCTTTTATTTTTAGAATTTATTTTGTTTTCCTTTTTGCGATACTCAGTCCGTGTTGATATTTTTTCTCTTTTAATTGCTTGCATTAAATGAATAGTAGTAATTTTAAAGTCCATATTTGGATTTCCTGCCATGTTTTTTTCAAGTGTCACGTGTTGTTGTTTTTCTCCTTGGTTTTCGGTCATCTTTTGAAATGCCTTGTTCTTTCTGCTTTATTTGTGAACGCGCTGTTGGTACAAGTTTGTAGGGATGATTTGAGGCTCTGGGTGACCTTACTGTCCTCTGGAGAAGGTTTGCTTTGCTTCTCACACACACCGAACAGGCACATCCAGATGACTTCACCCACTGAGGGTTAGAGCTGGTTCAGAACTAGCTTCCATGCCTTTTGATGGGTGAGCGAGTTCTGGTTTTCCTTCCTTTTGAGGGGGTGGTCCCAACTGAAAGCCTGGGGTGCTCTTCAGGGCCTCTTCTCCTTTGCTGTTTTGCAGTTTTGCTGTCTTCTACCTTGAGAGCCCACCAGAAAAGTTCTGTATTTCTCAGTAACAATCGTCATACTTGTCAAATGCCTTGAACGTAAAAGCAGTGGCCAATGGGTTTCTCTGCCCATTTTCTAAGGGCGCACGGCTTTGTCTTGGGTCCTGTTCTGAACTTGAACACGGCGAATGCCTCCAGGGCAGACGCACTGTTGGTGTCAGCTTACCCTCTCGTTTCTAACCTTCTCTTTGCCTCTGATCCCTACATTTCTATTTTGGTTTGTAGTAATGTCTTACAGGCTTCCTTACAAGTTTGAACGCATGTTACTCTTTTAGCCAGCATTTCTAGATGTTTTTTATTGGGAGGTTTCTTGGGGTTCTTTGTTTTGTTTTTTAATATCTGGTCTTCCATTGTCTGGATTGTACTTTTTCACCTATTCAATTGCGTATTAGACTCAGTATATGTTTCTACTGTTTCCGATCCTTTGGCATATTATCTGTCACTGAACGTATTACCAAACCAGACAGAAATGTCCTATGTGTGTGGGGGGTGGGGGGACATTCTAGTTAATAAATAGTTTATAAAGGATTTACTATAACCAGGCCATGTTCTAATTTCTGGAGGGGCAAGATGAGTAATATGCCATCCCTGCCCTTGCAAAAGTCTGCATTATTCTCTACGATATTAACAACCTCAAAAGGCTCTTTGAATACTAAAATGCTTGGAGCCTGTCATTCTTAAAAAGTAATGATTTTAACATATTTTTGAAATAATGGTTTCTAAGTGGCAATAGGGCACCAGACACCCACTCCAAATTGTGTACTATGGTGCAACAGAATACCACTTGAGAAGTTCCCTGTGCAAGCAGTGTCCTCAGGAAAGGGAATGGTTTCTGTTAAAGCCAGAAGGTGGGGGGAACTCTTAATGAGGAGGTCAAGCAAGAATCTGTGAGTTTGCCCTAACTGGTTTGGCTCAGTGGATAGAACGTCGGCCTGTGGACTGAAAGGTCTCAGGTTTGATTCCAGTCAAGGGCATATACCTTGGTTGTGGGCACATCCCCAGTAGGGAGTGTGCAGGAGGCAGCTGATCGATGTTTCTCTCTCATCCAATGTTTCTAACTCTCTATTCCTCTCCCTTCCTCTCTGTAAAAAATCAATAAAATACATATTTTTAAAAAAGAATCCGTGAGTTTAGTGATGACAAAGCAGGGGTTCCAGAGGACAAGTGGAAGGGTTTCGGAGGAGGCAGCAGAGGTGTCCGGGGAGACTGTCACGTGGAGTGCGGTCTAGTAAAAATGACTGATTGGGGGAGAGATGCTGTTTGGTGCTGAAATGATAAGAAGTATGATGGAGTAGGTCTCAGCAGTTTTCTAAGGAAGGTGGGCTCTGGGCCTAATAGCCAGCAGACGTAAATAACACAGCCTGGACTGATATTAGGGTCAGGGGTTAGACTCCTCCCCAAGTCTCTTATGCCCTAATGGCCCATGCACTCCCAGCACTAATGGCCTGAGATGACAGCAGTTGTGCGGACTGTGGTTTTCCCACATGCACTCTTGCTACTTTGTCCCTTCTTCTTCTCTGCAATGTTCTTTATAACATACTGTTGCCCAATGTTGTGACTTCTCATTAGATTACCAGTATAAAGTCTATCGTCAGATCATTACCAGAGAATCAAGGACACATTCACCCCCACCTAAGGAAGCGTCCTTAAAAAAGATTCCTGTTGTAAGGAAGCCTTCACACAGACCCAGGTAAGACATAGGATCTGGTGACACCAATATTTCCAAGCACAGCCCTGGAGTTCAGCATGAGCCTGTTTTTCTGTGTTAAATGTCCACACTCTTTTCCATATATCGCGTATACATGCACAAGCATGCTAAGTATTTTAAATCACTGTATGTTTTTGAAACCTGGCACCATGCAATATGTATTATACAATACGTTTTTCAACATAGCAAACTATTATGGACATCCTTCCATGTCAGTATGTACACAGGTCTACTTTCTTCCATCGAATGGATGTAGCATGATTTATTTAACTGTATGTTTTTCATGGATATTTATGTTATCTTCAATTTGTTATTGCTAGCAGCAGTGCCATAATATTCGTCTTTGTACATGGGTCCTTGCATATTTGTGTTTTCTGGATTGCGTGTGACTGTACAAGCCTCCTAACTGGGTCCTTACTTCTTGTCTCTCCCCCTCACAATCAATCCAAGAGTCGGCCTCTGGTAAGATCCCACTGCTGGCAAAGACTCTGTGGCCCGTGCCTTCAGGAGTGCCCCCTCACCTTTATCCACTTTTCTTAGTACAAGTGCCACCTCTACATAGAAGTTATCCAAATGTATGACTCCCTCTCCTCTGAAACACTAAACCCCTAAAATATAACCCCAAGCACTTACCATGTACTATTTTGTACTGCTCTTTATTTTTTTTTGGTATGTTTACTACCTTCTTGACTAACATTTTCTTGTAAGCCAGGATATTCGTTCAGTCATTCATTTGTTATTTAGTTATTTAATTAATTTTGTTTGTTTGTTTTAAATATATTTTTGGTGATTTCAGAGAGGAAGGGAGAGGGGGGGAGAGAGAGAAACATTAATGATGAGAGAGAATGATTGACCGGCTGCCTCCTGCACGCCCCACACTGGGGATCAAGCCCGAAACCTGAGCATGTGCCTGACCGGGAATCGAATGGTGACCTCCTGGTTCATAGGTCAATGCTCAACCACTGAGCCATGTCAGCTGGCCAGTCATTCATTTTTTTAATTCACTATCTATTAATGACTAGTGACATGGAAAGTTCTCTTACAGAGGATAGAGATAGATTAGCACGTACAAGTTTGGTAGTCAACATCGCTAGCAGAGTATTTGCAGAGAAAAGTTCCCAGAAGTATGTTTTCAGTTACTGTTAGCCTTCACAGGGGCTGAAAAGCCCTCTGTCTCTTCTAAATACTCTAGAGAGGTTTTTCCTCCCTTTCAAGGAACTGAAATTAATCCCTGAGGTTTAATCTTTATTCTGTTTGATATTCTAGTTTGTATTACTTGCTACTTTTCACTATATCTACAGAGATTCGTATTTTCCAAATTAGTTGAAAATGAATATCACAGAAGTCTTTTCTAGATCATATATTTATAAGATCATTAAATTCTAGAGGGACTATGCAGGGTTATATAGTCTAGTTTCACGACTCCATTAGGACCACAGCAGAATGGTGCAGGTATACCACAGTTGCAACTCTCTTAAACCTTTTCCTTAGTGCAAAATTCAATGTACTAAACAGTTTTTGATCATACAGTGTCCCAGACATTCTGTGGATACTAATGATACAAATAAAGACATAGTCCTTGCCCTTAATCCAATACATACCTAAATAAACTACAATACTGACCTTTAAATGTTATGATAAAATATTGACTAATTGCTATAAGAGCATAATTGAAGGAGGAAATTTTGCATGAGGGTTAGGAAAACTTAGAATATTAAAAGAGGCCCTGATCTGCATGGAGCAATTCAATTGCAAAGAAGGGGAGTGTTTTGTGGGTAGAGCTAAATCTTCCAAACTGAAGAGATGACACGAAGAAATAAACTCAGAAGTATGAAAGTGGAATTTGAAAATAGTCCAGTGGTGTTAAAGCACAGAATACTTGGGGAGAATTTAGACATAAAATAGAAAATTAGAAACCTAGATTGAGATTAAAATAACTGAAAGAAGGTTTTGAGTGAATTATTAAGGAATTTGTGTTAAGTGGCAATAAGGATTCATGGGGGTTTGTTGGAACAGGAGTAGCAAAAAAAACACAAAACACACCCTATTATATGGATTTTTAAAATATTACTCTGGTAGACATAATAATAGTATGATGAGTCAGAGACTCATACTAAAGGCAGAAATAATAGTTGGAAGGTTGTGGCAGTTGTTTGGGCAAGTGATATTAAAAACCTGAAGTTAAAAGTGTAATCCTATATAATAAAAGTAAATATGCAAATCGACCGAACAGCAGAACAACTGGTCGGTGAGCAGGTGGTGCCAGGCCAGCCAAGGCACGTGCCAGCGGGCAGAGGGAGGGGATGGCGATAGAGTGGGTGGAGGGCGGTGGCAACCAGTGGCAGAGTGATGGGGGCTCATGTCAACACCTGATCACCTGCCCGCTCGCCTCCTATAGAGGGAGGCCACGGGCAGTGGCAGTAGCCAAGCGATTCAGGGCGGGGCCGGCCACTCGCCATCCCCAGATCAGCCCATCACTCGCCATCCCCAGATCAGCCCATCCTCAGGGGGAGCGGGCCTAAGCCGTCAATTGGATATCCCCTGAGGACTCCCGGGCTGCAAGAGGGCACAGGTCAGGCTGAGGGACCCTCCACCCCGAGTGCACACATTTTCATGCACTAGGCCTCTAGTAGATATACAAGGGAAGATACAGATTAAAAAACAAAACAAAACACTGAAGGTGAGGAATTGGACTTCTGCAATGGTAGAGTAAGAACCTCAAAAAATTGTCTCTCCAAAACTGGACAAACCTGTCAAAAATTTTAGAACTCTATAAATTATGTCATCTAAATTTTCAGTTAAAAAATTATGCATACCCCCATTCCCCCCCCCCCAAAAAAAAACAACACACAGGGAAGGATGGCTCGTACACAGAGAGGAAAGAGCACTCATTAGAAACTTTTATCTTTGAAGTGATTCAGATATTGAACTCTAAGGACTTCTAAGCAATATGTTCAATGAATTAAAGGTTGTGGCATGTTTAAAAAAATTAAAGGAAAGTATTATGATAATGATTCATCAAATGAAAATATCTAATAAGATAAATATTATAAAATAGAACCAAATAAAACACTGGAAAAGTATAATTGAAATGAAAAAAAATCACTAGAAAGAATCAATAGCAGATTTGAGTTGGCAGAAGAATTTGTGAACTTAAAATTAGCTCAGCAGACATTATCCAGTGTGAAAACATCACAAAATAAGAGAACTGTGAGACACCATCAAGAACACCAACATACAAATAATGGAAATATCAGGAGAGAGATAAAGGGGCAGGAAAAATATTTGAATGTGCAATGGTTGAGTACTTACTCAAAACATACTAGAAGCTGAATGAATCCCAAGTAGGGTAAACTTAAAAATATTCACACCTAGGCACATCATAATCAAACTATTGAATGACAAAAAGACTAGAAACATAGGTTTACCATATGAATGAAAATTGAGATCACAGAGGAGGTAAGGATTGGGGGCGGGGAGGGGAGAGGGAGGAGTCATAAGGCAAAATTCAAGAGGATTGAGAATGAAACATTAGGGGCACCTTTATTTAAGGAACAGTGGAAAAGAAATCAGCAAAGGCAATTTAGAAATATTGATCAATAATTGCTGATCACTCTTGCTCTACCCACTGAAATGATTGCCAGTTAGGGGTTGTTTTGAACCCATAATGCAGAAAGAAGGTGGTTCTAGAAAAAGAAAATTAGCCCCTTTAAAATACCTCTCGTCCTCTTCCATTGATGTTGGCAAATGATTGAACCACGCTTAGGATGGACACATAAAAATTTATCTACAAGGAAATAAGAGTAACCAATTCATTCACCCTGATCTTCACACATAGTTAAAGGCCCCGCAGCCCGGGAGAAGCCCTTCCCCATACCTTAAGTGGAACAGAATTCAGGGTCACCATCCATTCTCTCAACCAGTGATGCTTTCTTGTTTCCAGAAACCTGGCAGAAGTCTTTCGAAATGTACAGCACTTGGAGTACTTCACGGAGTTCCTCAAAGAACGGAAGGCTGAGGTCCCATTGCAATTCCTGATGGCATTACAGAAGATCAGTATTGAGACAGATGAACAGGTCTCCAAGTCTCTTGTTGAAAATGTAATGGAGACTTATTTCTCTGACATAGTCCCTGCTGGTATGCAGCTTCCTCCTGATACTGTTTGCTTCTCCCTTTAGTATCATAGAAGAGTCTGGAAAAGAGCTGGTCTTGAGTCTCCTAAGGGAGCATAACAGAATAGCGGCCACATGGGGCAGTATTGAAACAAAGATTAAGAGGGATAGTGAAAGCAGAGAACACCAATCAATTAGAAATATTGGTAGTAAAAGAAGCCAAGTGCAAAACACTTGCATTTATATGTGAAATACATGCTCTCAGTTAATTTTACCCTGAAAATGGGATTTTATTTAGTCCCTAAAAGGTAGGGATAAATAGCTCTACTTAACTAATGCAGAAGGTGAAACAGAGGAGCTAACTAACTTATCCAATTGGTGCAACTTGAATTCAGACTCAAGTTGTTTGACCTTCAATCAACTACACTGGAGTTAGATACAAAAGCGAGAGTAAACTCTATGCAAAGCAAGCGTGTCCACCACTCATAGGTTATAAAGGTAATTGTGCCAGGAAGCAGAGCTATCCCTTGGAAAATCCTCATAATTTTGCCTTGTTTTCTTGCCTAAGGTGGGAGGGTAAATCTGACCCTGTAAATTCATTTGGCCAGAAGCAGAAGTTGCATGTAAAGTATTGACCTATTAGTCTGAAGGCAAACTAAAGGGGGTGAGCTTGGTTCCATCTTGGAGGTAAACAAGCCAAGTAATAAAGCTGAAGCCTACTATTTTGACAGAGATGGTTGTGTGTGTGTGTGTGTGTGTGTGTGTGTGTGTGTGTGTGTCTGAGTGTGTGTTTTGCTTGTGGTCAACCAAGAAAGGTTATAGATCTTGTACAAGTCAAAAAAGAGGTAAAATTGGCAAATCTTGTAAGAAATGTTTATTTATTAAGTGTCAGGATATCAAGTTCTGTACATTGTTTTGAATGAGCCAGAAGTGAACACCATAGTCTTTCAACAAAAATTGTATTGCCCTTACAATACTTACTTGTAATCTTGGATTTCTCATTTGCCTCAGCAATTAACTTTAATCCTTTACCTTTCTGCTCTCTTCCTGAACCAAAAACTTCAAACTAACTGCAGAAATGAGTCTTTTAAATATTTATTCCCTTTACACACTTATCTGAGATTTGAGTGGAACTAAACTAGAATAGGAACAGTATTTGCTCTACAAATACTCTTGCACGTAACACCTGAAGATGTGTTTGAGATTTTCAAGCAATCTGTGGAGAGATCAGTCTAACCAGATTGAGAATAAGGGACTGTAAGACTCTGAGATGAAAAAAACACCAGCTTCTTTAGAAATGATAGACGAGAGATGATGGCTTCTCTCCCCTCCCCCTCTGCCTCCCCTCCCCTCCCCTCCCCTCCTCTCCCCCTCTCCCCTCCTCTCTCCCCCTCTCCATGTAATTTTCTAGAAGAAATGCTGCAGTGTGATGACCCTATCATCAGAGAAGTCTCTCGGAAAGGTCGTCTCAGCACAAACTCAATGTTAATCCTCCAGAGCTGTGTCATGAAATCTCTGGAAGAAAAGTGGTGAGTATTGCTTAGTGGAGACAGTGAGCCTTTCTGGAGCTGCCCATTGGCTGCTGCAAGCCACATGATTCAAGTCTCATACTACACTCACAGAGTTCATCGTCAGAGCCTCCCTCCAAAAGAAAAGCCAAACTTATCTTGAACCTTCTTACCTACCTACATGGATGTGGGGGCATGCACACACACACACACACACACACACTCTCTCACACACACACTTCTGTTCATTTGTCTGAACAGGAACAAGATAGCACCGATGGGAAGGGCAGGCTGACATTAGCAAAGGATGGAAATATTAAGGAGACTATTTTTGACTATCTTGATGTTCCCCAATTTCTACTTTGACTTCCTCCAAAGGCAGAGATAGGTTTGCCTTGGCTGCTCCTGTTGGTGTGCCAGGCTTTGGCCTTCTGTGACATTCCTGACCTCCTCCTGGTAGGTTCAAAGAATACCAAGAGCTGTTCCCAGATTTTCCTCAGGAAGTGCAAGCTCAAATACGAACTGTGTATAGGAAGCCCTCGAAGACTTCATCAATGCAAATACAGGAACCCCAGGTGAGTTAGGAAGCCAGTGCAGCCCAGACACTGGGGGCGAGAAAGCCACTGCCTAGGTATTGTCGCCCATACAGAACAGTTGCGCTGTTAGCTTATTCAGTCACCAAAACCACTACACTCTGGGGTAGGTTTCTGAAACCCCGTTTTATGAAGGAGGAATCTGAGTCTCATAGAAGTTCAGTGGGAATTTAAAGAAGTCGCTCTCTACTGTCTTTGTGAGGCAGCAGGTAGTGATGGAGATGAAAATGTCAGGTTTTTGTTTTTTGGGTTTGGGTTTTGTTTGTTTTTTATTGCTGACAGCTACTTTCAAGGACATGAATTGACCAGGAAGCCAAAAGGGTTTGATCATCCTTTCTCTTTTACATTCACATGTCCAGTCACGATAGCATAATGGCACAACTTAGGCCCCCACTTACCTGAGTGAGCCCCTTCCTGTATGAGAAAAGGCAGGCCTGAGCACGTGTCCTGAAGACAAACACTTCCCAGAGAGAGTGCAAAGGGCCCAGAGCAGGCCATACCTGCTTCCTTCTTCCAAACTCATCAGTCATCTAACTCATTCCTTCTCCCACTGGAGGAGATAAAAAGGGAAGAAAGAGAAGACAGGTATGCTATTCAGGAAAGTCTTCATAGGGTTGGAGAAGAAAATAAAAAGAATCCCAAATAATCTCTTAAATAATCCTGGTTCAATGTATTATAGAGTTAGTTTATATCAGAAAAACTTGACCTCTGACTCGAAAGATAATGCCCAGATATTTCTGAAAATCATTCCTATGCCCATTGACCCAATACCCCAGGTATGGAAATGAGCTTCCCTGGCCTTTCTTCTTTGTATTTCCTCCGTACATGAATCAACTCCATGTCAGGGTACCAGGAAAGATCACATAGGACATTGGAAAGAATACTGCCCTCAGAACCCGATGCTTTGTTTTACTTTCAGGTCTTCCTGTTGCTCTTAGATAAGAAAAGATAAATGGAAAACCAACATGTACATAAGCCTTCTTTGTGCTAAGTACTGTATTAGGGTTTTCATATATCATCACTAACCCTCACCACAACCATTTGTTTCTGTCTTACACGTGGAGACATGGACTCATGGTTTAAGTAAGTTGGCTCAAACTGTATACAATTAGGGTGAGCTAGGTTCCAGACTCAAAGTTTCTGATTCTAAATCCATGGGTTTTTTAACTTTACCTCCGGCTCTCTGAAGCCATGTTTCTACTGAGGTTACCTGCCTGTAGAACGAGACAACAAAACTCGATCAGCCAGATGCTTTCTGGCCCTCAACATCCATTTTTCAAGGGGTAAATGAACTAGAGAATGTTCACTAGGTCTCTATGAAGAAATGGATGAAGAAACTTACCAAGTGAATTTGTGTGTGAGCGTGTACGAGCGTGTGGTGTACGAGTGTCTGCATCTAATTATTAGTTTTTCTTTTTTAAATGCTTAGAAATCGTTTTGTTCATTTCCTTATTTTTTTCAACATTTCAAAATCTGCCTGCGCCATTATTCCCGCCTTGTGAGTCATACTTATCCCTGCTCTCTGTTTCTTCCTGTTTTTAGCTTGGACAAATCGTTTCTCAATTACGGCAACTCCAACCTTCACTTGCCAATGGCCCCAGACATGCCTGGTTGAAGCCAGAACCTTCTCAACAGCTGCTTAACCTGGGGAAGGTTATACAAGTTCTCTGACCTGAATTTCCTGGGCTTTTAACTGGAGCTTAAGATTATTCCTTTTTAAAGGAGGTGTTGTGAGGATTGCATGTAAAGAATGTCGAGTTCTGGGGCAAAGTTAACTCTCAGTGGACAGCAGCTGTACTAACTATGTCCTACCCTCTCTCTTTCCCCAGAAAAGAATCTGGCCGAAATTGGTCGGCTTTGTCAAGAGCTTTTGTAAGTACCGCAGATGCATGAACAATGTCAACTTGCGCCAGGAATTTGAAAAATATCTCCACCTGGAACTTAACAACAAGGAAAGTAAGTCACATGTCTGTCTGCTGTCCTTCCCTGTTGATTTCAGTAGCAGGGCTGGCTCAGAGAAGAAGCTGCAGGGGTACGGCTTTGTGTCATTCATGTCTGCATTAGCCTGGGGTCCAGCAAGAAGTCCAGGTTCTGGGTGCAAAGCCAAGCCCAGGCCAGCCTAGAGAGGATGGGAGTCCAGTGGCATCTGCTCAGGGACCCCGAAAGGGTGGAGGACTAGGCTAAAGCAGTGCGAGATCTCACATTTTACCAAACTACTTGCTGATGTTGTTTGTTAGTAGTAAGAGATTTATTAAATTGTTTCGTTCATTTACTCAACGCCCTTTTTGAGAATGTGGCAGGTACTTTGCTGGGGATACAGTAGTGAGCGTGCAGCCTAGGATCTGCCCTCAAGGTACCTCCAGTTTTGAGGGCAAGTCAGCAAGTAAGAGCCACAGATGTTGGAACCAGATTTCCTGGGTTTGAATCTGGCACTTTCTAATGGGAGGACCTTGTGAAAGTGGCTTTGTGCCTCAGTTTCCTCATCTGTAGAATGGAAATAATTGTGCCTGTCTCAGAGAATTGTTGTGAGGATTAAGCGAGTGTGTGTGTGTGTGTGTGTGTGTGTATATATATAATCTTAGAACTATTTTGGGCAATGGTAAGTGCTGTGAAAGGGTTAGCCAGTATTCTTGCTATTATTATATCACTAGAGGCCTAGTGTACAAAATTCGTGCACGGCGGAAGGGAGGGGGCCCCCTCAGCCCAGCCTGCACCCTCTCGCAATCTGGGACTCCTTGGGGGATGCCAGACTGCCAATTTGAGCCCGATCCCTGGACCACTGGCTCCTAACCACTCGCCTGCCTGCCTGCCTGATTGCTCCTAACTGCTCGCCTGCCTGCCTGATCACCCCTAACCACCTCTGCCTCAGCCCCCGCCACTGCGGCTTTGTCTGGAAGGACATCTGGAATGACATCCAGAAGGTTGTTCAGCTGTCCAGTCTAATTAGCATATTATGCTTTTATTGTTATACATTGTGATGAGTGATCCTATTGATGATTGCAGGGAGACCCTAATTAGTCCAGGGGGAGGATCAGGAGAGAAACGTACCAAAAATGACATAAAGTTGAGTTTCAGAGATGAGCGAGTTAGGCAGGCAACATAGAAGGGAGTGATTTCTAGGTCTGCATATAATCCTAAAACAGGAAAGAGGGAATGGTGCAGATCAGGAACTTGAGGCCATTAATCTCCAGTTGGACTGGAGATTAATGAGATGGGGAAAGTGAGATGAGATTAGAGGGTTTGAGAGTGACAAATCTTGTGTCTCTTTTGATGACTTTTGCGTTGTTCCAGCTGTCACTTCAACAAACAATGCTGCAAAACTTATTTTGCAACTGTCAGTTTCTATGAAATACATTTTAAAAAATGGAAGTAATGGGTAAATGGTTAAAAATAGTTCAGTTGTGGCCTTCTAAAACCACTGCACTAATTAAACTCTCACCAAGAGTATAAATGAAGGCCACATTATCACCCACATGGGCTCTTATACATTTTTAGAAATTGGCAGTCTGGTAGATGAAAAACAATGTACAATTCTTATGTACATTGTTTTAGTATTTAAGCACCTTAATTTATTGGTCATTTGTATTCTTTTTGAACTGTTTATATGTCCTTTGTCTATTTTTCTATTGGAATTGTAGTATTATTATTGTATTTCCTAACTTGCAAAAATTTTTTTTATGTATGTCTTATGGACTGCTTCACAACCAAACATTTAGGATTTAAGAATAGTCCTAGTCCTGGCTGGTGTGGCCCAGTTGGATGAGCATCGACCCATGCCCCGAAAGGTCACCAGTTCAATTCCCTGTCAGGGGACATGCCTGGGTTTCGGGCTTGATCCCCAATAGGGGGCATGCAGGAGGCAGCAGATCCGTGTTTCTCTCTCACATCAATGTTTCTCTCTCTCCCCCTTTTCCTTCCTCTCTCTCTAAAAAATCAATAAAAACATATTTAAAAAAGTTAGTTCTAGCTCTTTTGTTTCTTCTTTTAAGTAAAATCAATTCAACCTCTTATGCCCAGGATGTAAGAAGTCCAATTTCACCTTCTTTTGACTTCCTACATCCCCAGCATTGTATGGGAGCCCAAGAAAAAGATGCTCCTGCAACTCCACGGGAGCTCTGCCCGACCAGTGGTCCACCACTACAGTCTTTTCCAGAATTATGTCCTCCAATTAATTGACCCATTTCTCATCATGAAAGGACCTTCTTTATCCTGGGTGATATTCTTTTCTCTGAAATGTACTTTGCTTGATATTAAAATAGCCACTATCACATTTTATTAGTGTTAGCCTATGTGACTTTTTCCATTCCTTTCCTTATAACCTATTTAAAGCCTTGCATTTAAAGTGTTTTTCCTGTAGCCAGCATATAATTGGCTCTTGCTTAAAAAAAAAAAATCCACCGTTATGACCTTAGCCCAGTTGAAAGCCAATTGTTAAGCATTTAGGTATTTTGTGAGCTGGTTGACAAACCATTGATAGATTGAAATCAACCATGGTGGGAGCATTTGCTATAGAAGTAGGCAAACAGATCATATCTGCCCAACCCCTACCAGAGAAGACTTGTCAACCTGCCCCTGCATCTGGATTTCTTGGGTGGATTTGGCACGCTCTTTCCTAAAATCCCTGATGATCATATCAATTTCCACTATTATTCAAACTCTTTTTCCCTTCAAATGCAAGTCTCAGAGATAGAGAAAGAGAGACTGTAAGAAAGTCGGGAGAGATCTTATGCTTTGTAACCCTAGGACCTAGCACAGTGTCTGGGACACGGAAAGTGAGAGGTATTTACTGAATATTGTAGTCACCCTCCCATCAGAACGAATCCCACTAGACAGTTTCTTACTGGTAAACCCAGCCAGGTAATGAACTAGGGCCTACTTGTCAGATCCAGCCCAAAACTATTCTCTCCTAAGCCCTGAATCCCTATGAGTGGGTTTCTTTGAATATATCCTCATCAAGAGACTTTCTAAAATAACTGCGTTGGTTTTCTGACACACGACCCAAACCTTGAAGAATCTTCTCCTTTATTCATTCCTGTCATGTTTCTACTCTAGCTTCCTACCCTCTGCTTCTTAGTTAACCTCTTTACCCTTCCTGTTTTGGCTTTTTCTTTGTGCTTCTTTCCCAGTTTACTTCTAAACTACTTCCCTGATAAACCTCAAATAAGCAGCATCAGAACCACACACTCTACTTTGAAGGTCACCTCTGCATGTTCAGTTTCTGCAGCCATGTTAGGGATTGGCATAATTACAGTGTGCTCCTATCTCTATTAGACCAGCATCAGGAAGACACCTTTCAATACTTGGTTGATTTCTTTTTGGTATGTATGTTGTCATACCATCTGAGCAGATGGCTTTTCCAGCAGTCCTTCAAGTCCAAGTGAAAGGTCGAGCCTATGGGAGGGAGTCACTATTTCACTAGGCCCAAAGGTGTGTCCGTCGTCTTTCACTTTAATTATGCCCAGATTGAAGGCTTCGGGCTTATGAGGGACTTGCTCAAGCTAGATGTTCATTCCTTCCTCTTTCTTTTTCAGATTACCCTGCATCACCAAATGTACCAGCACGCCCATCCCCACATCACTCAAATGTCCGGAGTGCAGAGGAGAATGGAGATGTAATCTTTATGAAGCGCCGTATATTTGGCCACAGGGTTATCACTGTCAACTTTGCCCTCAGTGATTTATATTTCTTTTCTGAAATGGAGAGGTAAGTTTCCCATCTCGCCTTCCCCTTGTGGCTTTTCATGCTTAGTGCCTCCTGGCAAAGACTGGCACAGTGATTTCTGTGAAAATCTCACTGAATGCTGTCACTGTATCAATTTCCACCATTTTTTCCTTTTTCATCCTGAAAGCTCTTCAATATTCTGGAGTTCCAAATATTGAAATGCACTTATACCCTGAATGTGGGACCCTTTTGTTCTATTATTTATTAATATGTTAGAAATCCTCTTATGTATTGGACCAATAGTTATTTTTTTAATTGATTGATTTGAGAGAGAGAGAAAAAAACAGTGATTTATTGTTCCACTTAGTTATGCATTCATTGGATGACTCTTGTATATGCCCTGACCAGAGATTGAACCTACAACCTTGGAGTATTGGGACAACACTCTAACCAACTGAGCTACCCGGCCAGGGCTGGACCAGTAGTTCTTTAGTCAAAGCAAGGAATTATAATAATTGAGGTTGTGTGTGTATGTGTGTGCATGGCATTAAACAGATATTTTTAAGTTAAAACATATAAATGTGCATTCACTCAACTGCCAAACTTTTGATGTAAAGCCAAAGCCATTCCACTGATTGGGAGTTCACATATTTTTCTTGTATATACTATTCCTATAATGCTATCTACTAATTCTAAAAATTGTTCTCTTGTTAAAGTAGAGCAAGAGCCCTAACCGGTTTGGCTCAGTGGATAGAGCATTGGCCTGCGGACTGAGGGGTCCCAGGTTCGATTCTGGTCAGGGGCATGTGCCTTGGTTGCAGGCACATCCCCAGGGGGCGGGGGTGCAGGAGGCAGCTGATTGATGTTTCTCTCTCATCGATGTTTCTGACTCTCTACTCCTCTCCCTTCCTCTCTGTAAAAAATCAATAAAATATATTTTAAAAAAATAAAGTAGAGCAAGAACTTAAAGGTTACTGCAAAGCAACTTAAGCCTTCCGGATTTTTATACTTATCTTTTAAATGTTTGTAATCCCCTTGCTATACCTAACTCCATAGCAATTTTTTAAAAAACAACTCAACCTTTATTGGAATATTCCAAAGTATTCCAATCTGTTTTCACAGAAACAACAAATACCTTTATTTTCACGTTTGTATTTTGTTAATTTTCATAAATTATGAATTATAGTAACAAGTACAACAGGCAAAAATATCTGGGAAGAAGCACAAAGAACTTTCATAAATGCCTGTCTTAGCTAGTGGGGACAGTGTGAGCTTGTACAAGGAAGGTACCAGCAGCGTATGGAGTCAACTTGCCGCTGTGTTTTTCGGAAGTGCGGAGCGCTGGTAACGCCGCGCATCAATTAGGGTTAAGAGCTTTTCCACTGCACTTCGGTGAGGGACCAGGCTCAGTTCCACGAACACTTATAGATTGCTTGATTATTCTTGGCTCTGGATTTGGCATTGGAGATCCAAAAAGTACAAATAAGACATGCTCTCCATCCTCCACGATCCCACAGAGATAGGGATGGCCGGAAGGACACAAAGTTAGGAAGTGTGATGCTGTGGTAGAGTCAGGAAGTGCATTTAGACAACTGAGCCCTCAGGTGTGGTTTCATGGCAGACAAGTCACCTAAGCTGAAGTTTGAAGAATGAGGAGGGGGTTAGTGAGAATTTTTTTTAAAAAATCTGTGTAAGGGAGAGGTGAGTGGGGAACAGAAAGGAATACCAGTCAGGGTGAACAGCCTGCCACTGCCTCTCCAATTCCCGCTCTGCTTTCTCACTTGTTGGCTACACAGCAACCAGAGAGCCTGTGAACAATGTCAACCAGATTAGAGCACTCTCCTGCCCAAAATGACCCAGCGGCTTCCCATTTCCACGGGAATCAAGTCCAAACCTCCTCCCATGGCCTAAATGGCTCTATGCAAGCAGGATATACCCGCTTGCATCTCAGAGCTCATCTCCTGCCCCAGGCTCCAGCTCAGAGGCTCCGCCCCCACCTCTGCCCTTCCCCGCCCACCAAGCTGGCTTCACATGACTGTCTTTTTCTCATTGTTCTGTCTCAGTGCCTGCTCCCTTCCCAATTACATCATGCCCCTTTTCTGTCTTCATAGCCTCTACTGGATATTTAATTAATCACCTGTTTACCTGTGCATCTTCTTCCCTCATTGACTGTGAGCTCCTGGAAAGCCGGCCTTTGTTTATTTTATTCCCTGATAAGTCCCTGCTGAGTCCCTGCTCCTGGAACTGTGTCTGGCACAGCATAAACCCTTAATTAAAATACTCCTTGACTGAATACATGAATGGAATGGATATGGGAAAACCTGGTGTTCTACTATTAGGAAGACTTTAAATTGTTACAATTTTAAATGGCCTGGGAGAAGTCAGCTGTGTACTTACATCAACATAAGGTGTAACTGACAAATATTTGAGGGTCACTGAAAGCATATGTTGCTAGGAGACAGAAATTAGAGTGGTGGCTGCCAGGGGCTGGGGGAGGTGGCGAATGGGACAGTGTTTAATGGGCATGGAGTTTAAGTTTGGGAAGATGAGAAAGTTCTGGAGATGATGGTGGTGAGGATCACACAACCATGTGGACGTACTTCATGCCACTGCAAAAACAGTTAAACTGGTACATTTTATGTTATGTATATCTTACAATAGTAAAAAAAAAATTTAATAAAAGGAATATGTTGCTTCAGAGACTGGTGGTAATTGTGAGAGGGTCAGCACAGGAGGGGAAAGAAAGAGCAAGACAGCACTTAGCCCTCGAAGCAGTCAGAGGGCCTGATGGGTAAGGACGGGAGGATGGGATTAATAAAGGAGTTAGTGATGAAGAAATGCACTTGAGGAAGGACTTAGCATGTCATCTGACACGTGGAAGGCACTCAATTCGTGTTTGCCGATAGATGGCTTACAACTGAATGAATAAAATCACAACCTGGCCAGGATTTGGCCCCCTCTCTTTTAGACCAAAAATAGGTGTGGGCTGGCTGCCCTCAGTCGCCCCTGCTTCCCTCTTTGCTGATTTCCTCCTTCCTGCCTCTCTTTAGATTTAACGATTTGGTGAGTTCAGCTCATGTGCTTCAAGTCAGCTGGGCCTATAACGAGAATGACGTGATCCTAATGAAGTCCAAGATTAACATCATCCTAAAGCTCTACCTGCAGTCCGAGGTCCCTCCGAGGCTGAGGGTAAGGGGGACTTGCACTCCTCTCTGGCCTTGTCCCAAGGAGCATTTTCCCACAAAAACCCTGAAAGCTGAGTCCTGGGTCGGCCGGATATCCTTGACCTAGCAGCCCCCGGAAAAGCTTCTGCCCTCTGGGGAGGGAGCATCTTCAAGGTTGTGGGGCCCAAGAGCGGTTTTCTGCCAGTGACGGGCTCCCACTCTGCGGGCAGGTGAACATCACTGAGTCCCAGAGGGATGCCATCATCTCTGCCATTGCTGAGGGCCGCCTGGATCGCAGCATCTTCCACGGGGCCATCGTGTCTCTCTTCCCCGTCATTATGTACTTCTGGAAAAGGTAAAACTGTCACCCCTCCCCTCCCCAGGGAAACACTTGACTTGCTAGTGCAGCGGTTCTCAACCTGTGGGTCGCGACCCCTTTGGGGGTCGAACGACCCTTTCACGGGGGTCGCCTAAGACCATCGGAAAACACATATATAATTACATATTGTTTTTGTGATGACTCACTATGCTTTAATTATGTTCAATTTGTAACAATGAAATTGGGGGTCACCACAACATGAGGAACTATATTAAAGGGTCTCGGCATTAGGAAGGTTGAGAACCACTGTGCTAGAGCGTCTCCTATCTTCCCATCGCTCTCTGCTCCAGTTTCCGGATTCATAGGAACTGAGATGGTGTGTTCCCCTCCTGCTCACTACACTTCGTCCCTCACACGCTCACACTGAGCACTGAGTCAGAGGACGGGAGGCCAAGTAAGACTGGGGACCAGAACGCCTGGCTCCCAGCACTCCCTGGGTTGAATGGGGAGTAGAAAGGAATAGCAGGCTCTTAGGTTGTGTTCGGCGTGGGCTCCTCACCTAAGGGTGACATGGACCACAGCTACTTGGGAGCAGTCTGTCAAGGCTGACACACTGTCCCCATGATCAGGGAGCCTCCTGGGGGCAGTGAGCCAGGAGAGTTTGCCTCTGCTATGCCCACATCCCATAATTACCAGTAGGGGCTCAGTTGCTAGATATTTCCATTTTCTAGAGAAGCTAGAAATTCAAGTTCTTAGGTCCTATCTCCCCAGGTTAAAGTAGGAAAGGTGGCTACCAACTTAAACCTAAAACCTGGGGAGGAAGCTGGGAAGGCCAGAAATGAAACTGGAAGAAAGACAAAATCCGCAGAACAAATGTGACCAGGGCCCCCTGGTTCCTAACCTGTCACCTAAGTTCTCCCAGCTGGTTACTCACCCGGCCTGTGGTCCACCATGGTTCTAGCGCGCACCTCCCCTGTTGTGAATGGCCCTGGGTGATAGAGACCACAGGACAACTGGCTGAAGTGGCCCCACACCAGGCTAGGTTGGGATGTTTAGATTATTATTATGATTCCAGCTCTTAGGGGTTTCCCTCTCCCCCCCAAACCCCCTCACACACAAGTTACTTTCTTAAAATAGAAGTGTTAAGGTTGCTTACCAACCACCAACCTTCCATTTTAAATTCCTAAGATCAATTATGCAATATAAGATTGAAATAAATTTTTAAAAAAATCTAAGGTCAAGATAACCAGTTGAGCCTTCTGAGCACCAATTGTTATCTAGCACTCACGTCTAGACTTGATTCTCCGCCTGCTAACCGGGACTAAATGCAAATGGGTCCCAAAGCTTCCTGGGGGATCAGCAACCCCTGGGGGATGTTCACCGCTCCTTCTGGAGTCAGGCTCAGCACCCCCGCATCCCGTTAAGGAAGTACAGGGGTGCCTCAGGGAGGCTCGAGTCCTGATCCTCGGGCAGCTGGTTCTTTACCCGCTTTCCTATATATTTATGAAGATTTTTATATCATACAACTGTGTCCACATCTGTTATCTCAGGTGAACCTCTCACAACCCCGTGAGCTGGGTGATGCAAAGTATTATTGTCTCTATTTTATAGATGAGGGAACTGAGGTTCAGAGTGGTTCAGGGCCTTGGTAAGTGGTACCACTTGGTAAGTGGGTTAAAAACCAGGAATCTTGGTCTCTCAAGCACCATAAAGAATGCATCCTCGGCCCAGCCACTGGGGCTCAGTTGGTTGAGGGTTGACCTATGAACCAGGAGGTCACGGTTCAATTCTGGTCAGGGCACATACCCAGTTGTGGGCTCAAACCTCAGCATGGGACGTGCAGGAAGCAGCCAATCAAGCATTCTCTCTCATCATTGATGTTTAACTCTCTCTCCCTCTCCCTTCCTCTGAGAAATCAAGAAAATAATATTTTTTTAAAAGAATGCATCCTTGGTGTATTGGGAGGTCCATGACTGGAGAGAGACCCAGTTTAAAGTGGAATGGAAGAAACCCACTGTGATTGGGTGGAATGTGCCTTGGGGAGGAGGAAGGAGGGCAGCAGTCAAGACCACCAGCGCCAAAGCAGGATAGAAAAGAAAGCCAAGACACCTCCAAGGGCTCCACTCTCAGGACAGGCTGGGGAGAGCCAGGGCTCAGGGCCAAGGAGGGAGAGCTGGGGAGCGTTGTGAGGGCTTCCAGGGAGCGGCCGTTCTCAGGTTGTAGTGCGTGTGCGAGTCTGAGCTCCTGAGAGGAGCCAGGCTTTCCTCCAGGGCAGGACTGTGGGAATGAGGTGAGGGGGTCCAGGTCCTCAGCAAGGGACAGGATGCCAACTAGGGATCGTTCATCGGGACTTGAGGGAGGCCAGCCAGATGCTCTGGCTGCACCAGGTGGAGTTAGATGGGATCTGAGAGTCTGATGTTCAGGGGAGCACACCAGGGTGGGGTACACCAGGGTGGGGAACAGCAAGTCCTTTATAGACTCCATTCACTGGAGGTTCCAGAAGGAAGTCCCAGCATCCTGCCTGTTCTGGCCCCTCCATGAGCCAGGTAGCACACGGAGGCAGGAGCTGTCCTCTTGTTTGTGCCCCGCGACCCCCCCACCCCCCCACCCCCACCCCCATGAAGACTGGCTCTGGCCGGGCCCCCTGTGCTCAGTGTCACAGTCCCCTGGGAGGTTTTCTCCCTGTGACCAGAAGCCATTCTTCTCACAGGTTTTGTTCCTGGAAGGTAACCCGCTCTTACTTCCAGAAGAAGGAGAGGAAGAGCAGGGACTCAAAAACCCCTTCTAAGTCTGTGGCCAAGTACTCTATTTGGAGTGGAGGTAAGCCCCACCAGGACCCACAGCCCGATTCGCTAGCAAACGGGAATCATGAAGGGAAGGCGAGGACTGGGAGGACCAATGGTGAGACCTCACAGAGGGTGTTTGCTGGTGGGATGGGCATCTCATTACTGGGCCCACGGAGAAGCATTCAAGTCTGTTATCTGTGGCGATCAGTGCTGGCAGGAAGGTCCCCCACCCACCCCATGGGCGGCTCCCCGGCATTACCTCCCAGGGTGCCTCTGGGCACGTGGTTCACAGCCTCCGTGGTGGGGACATGCAGCTCCATAAACTGTTATAGTGTTAAGTGAGAAAATGGAGATGTGGATGTAGAGTATGATTTTATTGTGGTGAGTGTATATATATGCATATAGATCTTTATGCATATGTATGATTTTTATGAAAACATAGGGAACAACTTAGAAATAGAGTGTTCATAAGAGTATCTCTGGGTGATGTGATTTTGAGAGATTTACATATTATTAATATATTGTCCATCATATTATTCATATAGTATTTATGTTATGTTATTCATATATTTATAGGTGAATGTGTTTGAAGACACACCTATACATGTTTTCTTTACACAGAGCAGTTTAGCTCAGTCCCTTTCCCAATACGTGCGCTGAGATCAGTACTTGAGCGAAGGGGCATTTTAGAGAGAGGGAGGAGGGTGCACTGGGCAGTGCCTGGCGAGGGCAGGCAGGGCTGGGTGGAAAGTTCTGGGAACCAAAGTTCTGTGCACCTGGGGACAGTACCAGCTGCAGAACAACATGGGATAGGACAGGAGTTTTAAAAACAGCAGCCGGCCCTCCCGGGATGGAGCTGGGCACGCTGTTTCAGCTCCTACCTGCCGATGCTCGTGTTCCTTTCCCCAGATGCTCACTCCTGCCCCGACCCCAGAGCCCACACACAAACGTGCCACCCCTTTCTTTGGGGCCCTGGAGACCTAACTCCATCTCTGGGGAACAACTCTGGCTACAGAGCCCTGGTCCTGCCCCGCGGACCCTTGGAGAGGGCCCTCACCTCAGGGGGAAACAAATTACCTTCGTCCCTGGCTGCAGCCACCCTGTGGTCCAGGAGCCCGGCGCCTCCCCCTGGTCTCTGCCCTGTGGAATGCCACATCCGCAGACAGCAATCGGCTATCTTTTCCGTGTGTGGGCGACAATGTTCCTGCAGGTGCAAGGGCTTATGTAGGATGAGGTGGGGGTAGGGAGAGCGGAGGCGACAGCAAAAGGAAAAGGAGAGGGAGGTGGGCAGGCAGGGTGGGCCAATGATGCTCACTCCGAGGGCATAGGAAATGCGCTCCACGGAAGTACATCCCTACATCTTTTCTGATGTCAGAAGTCGGGAGAGGGTCGGCAGGACGCCCTGCATTAAGGGGTCAGGCCACTTGGGTTCTAGGCCCGGAAACTCATCCTGTATGAGCTGAGGCATTTTGAGACTCTCGCTTCCCCTCTTGAGGCCTCGGACCCCTGATCTAAGATACAGACATTTGGATTTAGAAAATGTTCTATCACTAGCATCCTGTAATCCCAGGAGTGTTAAAGAGGAGCTTTCTTGGAATGGTTTCTTTTGTTGGGTATTGCTATAAAGGCTGTTAATGCTCCCCCTCTTGCCTCCCCAGGAGAACATGCCATCTTAAGATTCTCCTTGCTCAGAGGTATCGAGTGGTTGCGGCCTCAGCAGCGAGATGCAATAGCAAGTTCAGTCCAGAATTGTGAGTTGGAGTTGGAACCCCATGGATATCAAAAGCCCACTCAATGACAGGGTGACCCTAAGGCCAGCTTGGCCCATCTCCTTATTGGCCAGGAGGAGACTGAGGTCCCCACATTATGAAATGACTTGCTCAGGATCACACAGCTTGTGAGTGGCGGGGATGGAGTGAGAAGCGGGTCTCCTGACTATCCTTCCAGGGCCCCGTGCCAGCTCTCATTAGAATAAGCATATCTTTTATAGCCCTTTAAAGGCAGTAGCTGAAGCTTCTCGATATTTCTGCTGGCTCCTCTGCCCATTTCCAGGCATGCTGTGTCATCTTCATTAAGAAACAGTGATGATGTCCCACTTGCTACTTTCCCCTCCCTGAGAGCACCTGCTGCTTCAATGGCACTTTAACCCATACCTCCTGCTTCCTGGAGGCTTCTGCTACTGATCCCCTTATCTCTGTAATGGGCACTCCGGTCCTAGCCTCCCATCTTGGGTCCATGTCATATCCTTTCCCTTCCCCATCTCCAACTGCTCGGAGTCAATCCCACAAAAACTGCCTTGGTTCCCACATGGTCTTTCCCAACAAACCTTTCCTTTCTGCCCATCGGCAGCTTCTCTTTCCACGTTGGAGATTCTGCTTCTCTGAAATGTCCCTCATTGCTTAGTGGGGAGGTGATTATGGAACACTGCCCAGGAGCCAGAGGGCCCAAACTGTCCTGAAGTTTGGTGTTTCTAGAGCTTATCTGGCCTCAGCTCCTTATTTTACTTCCCCGGGTCAGTGAGGTTGAGCTCATGATCTGTGCACCCAGATGAAATGTCTCCTAGGACAAAAAAAATAATAATACTGTAGCATCCAACCCAGGTCTCCTGACTGTCCCTGGAGCATTGCTGCTTCATCACTTCCCCAACTCCTTCTCTGGTCCTGGGATGCCTCCCTGGCCGGCTGGCCTCCAGGGAGGGCCTGTGCCCTGAGTTCTGATGCAGTTTTTCTCTGCATTTGTCTTTAGCTTCATCGACGAGCAACCTGACCCAGACAGGACATACCGTCTCCTCCATGCAGCTGTTTCCTGCCTTAGGGTAGGCACCAGCTGGAAGTCCTCTTCTTCGGTGCTGAGCTTCTCTGTCCAAGTGCACCATGGGAAACGGGGGAGAAACTTCCCAGAGACCTAGCTCCACCTCCTGACACTCCTTGGCATATAGAACCAAGAAGTTGAGCTTGCTGCTTCCAGAGAGGCCTGGGGTGTCCTCACCCACCTCCATTAGGACAGGCCCTCGAGGAAGTTGAAGCCTTGACCCAGCTTCCAGTAGAACACCATTGCTGGAGGAAGAGCAACCCAAGTGGCCTTTTATTAGCTTCCCCAATATACCAGTGCTCCGGGATAAGGACCTAAGATGGGAAAGAAAGAGGAGCTGTTCTGCTTGACAGGAGATTGGCGATAGGAGCAGAAAGGATTTGAGCCTGTCACAATCTGATTCACCCTCACTTCTGTAAGAGAATCATCGTGGGGCTGATGCTAAATTAAGGCTCTGGGAGAATCCCCAGGGGATCATAGAAACCAGTGCCAAAGAACTGCTTGAAAGTCAAGGTTACAGACAGCAGGCTCTCTGAATGGTGGGCGGGCCTTGCCTCCTCACCAGCCATTCCACCTTCTCAGACCTGCTGCAAGGCCAGTTGGGGCTTGGAGCTCCCCAGGTATCATTGGCCAGCGCTGGTGCCTGGAAGACAAGCCAGGTACTTGGGAGCTCTTTGCTCAGAAAGGCATTGCCTGTCTTCAGAGGTTACAAGCCCTTGGGGAGGATGGTGAGAATAAGAACGGGAGGGCCCCTCTCCTGAAGGCAAAGGGTTTTGGTTTAGGCTGTTGCCATAGCAGAGAGTGCTAACACCTTATCGCCATTGCGCTAACCAGCCATTCTTCTCTCTTCCTTCAGAAAAAAACCATCTGTCATCAAAAAGGAGAAGAAATAATCCAGTCGGGCCCCCCAACAGAGGCGCATCATCTCTCAGAAGCTTCCTGACACTGACAGAACCTTTTCTGGTCAGAAAAGAAATGCCCTGGCACCCTCTGCCCTGGAAGGATCCGTGGGGTGACGTCAGTGGGTAAGATGTGGGCAGAGAGCGTGAGCAGAAGCACCTCTGCCTCCTCTGATCCTGGGGGGCCTGGCAGAGACGGTCTTTCCCCCACGGACGTGTGACGGAACACCCTACTCTTGGGGTCAGGAGACCGGGGTTTTAGTCTCGCTCTGCAGCCGCATGACCTGGAGAATCCCTGACTCCAGGTTGCTTAAGAATCCTGAGACAAGTGTGTGGAGATGGCATGAAGCACCCCAGGAAGCAGGGTGCTGTTTTATTAGACAGATGGGGGTCTTCGAATGCTAGGATCTCCCATTTGGACAGTGACTCCCGTCCACTGTCTCAGCAAATCCTCAGGACCCTGTGGGTAACCGTGTCAGAAACCACTCATTTTTAAACAGCTGGAGAAACCGGCCCACACAGGAGGTAAGTGACTTTCTCCCAACATCACGAGGCAGTAACTGCAGAGTCTGGACTAGAGCACCCACTGCTGCTTCTCACTCCGTGCTCACCATGGATGCAACTTCCCATGCACAAAAGGGATCGTTCTTCCCTGGAGGTCTGTTCATTTGCCAATTGATAGATAAAGAGACTCTTTGGATAAATGTTGGCCTAAAGGCCTAACTTATGATCATAGTTTAGAGTGACGAGGCCCATGTTCTGCCGTTTGAAGACAATCAGGGGGAAGACGATAGCATGCTGTGAAGGGCTTACCACCAGAGGCCAAGGAGAGGTTGGCATGTTGACTCCCTGGGTTGCAAGACAAGGAAAGACTAGAACGTTAATTGGGGAATCCGTTCGGGCTTCCAGCCAACATTTCCTGCCAGGCTGATGTCCTTTAGCTCCTAGACTTTTCCCAAGGATGAAAGATGTTGCAGCGTTGACACAGGGCTCACAGGGAGAGACTGTAAGAGCGTGTGGGTGAGGCTGTGATTGATGGTGACAGGTCAGGAAGACCAGAGGCGGACAGGACTGGAGGCCTCACGACACTTAGCAGGAGCACCGTGAATAGAAAGACGTTCTGCTCTTGGAGTCCGGCTGATTGCTTCCTGTGGTTTCTTACACCATCTCCCCTCGGCGATCCCAGGTCTAGCATGTTCTAACACCAGATTTAGGCTAGTGTCACAGAACCAGTCACCTCTAAAATGCGGACGGGTAAGACACATGAGAAAAGCAACCCGTGAGAGAGAACAGAGTGGTAGAGACTGGCGAACTGGAGAACCTATCTCAGAGAGGACAGTGACAGCGCCAGCCAGCCAGCCAAGCCACAGTTGCCAGAGCTGCTTACTTAGAAAGAAAAAGGAAGGGAGGAAGGGAGGAAGGGAAGAAGGGGCAGAGGAAGGTAGGGAGGGAGGTGAAAGAAAGAAGGAAAAGAAAAGAAAGGGGGGAGGAGGAAAGGATGGAGGGAGAGAATGAAAAGGGGAAAAGAAAGAACGAGAAAGTTTAAAATTTTGTAATATTAAGCAGGTTCAACGAAACTTGCAACCTTTGCTTTAAGCTTTTTCTTTCCCCTTGAAATTATATTTAGGTCCTAAGTCTACCTTAGACGGAAAATATGGGAGAGGAAGAAGAGAACCCCAATAATAGACCCATAGGAGCCACAGGCATCTACAGAACAGGCCATGGACAGAGGCAAGGAAGCCGGCCTACTCTGGGCCCTGTATTCGTTTTCTGTTGCTGCCACAAACAATTGCCCAAATCTTAGTGGCTTAAAACAACACAAATGGACTATCTTATAGTTCTGCAGGCCAGAAGTCTAACCTTGGAAGCATGGGGATAATGTCAAGGTCATTGGCAGGACTACATTCCTTTTAGAGGCCTCTAGGGGTGGTTCCCTTTCCTTACTCATTCAGGTTATTGGCAGAATTTGGCCTTTACAGTTATAGTGCTGAGGTCTGGTTTCCATACTGGCCTCTCTTTGCCTGTTTGCAAAAGCCTCAACTCCTTAGTGGCATATATAAGACCATTGACAATGTGGTCCAGTCTAGGTTTCCAGATTCATCTTTTATCTCACCCACTCATGCATTCCATCCTCCAAATGCCCTGCCCTTTCTTCTCCGCCTGGTGAGAAGGGACATCACAGCAGTGACACCTCCTAGTTGTCTCCTCTCTCCTCTCATCATCTCCTCTTTGTCTCTGCAACGTATTTTTCCCCTCTTTGGAGACACCTGTTTGTGCATGTGCATCACCTACTAGACCAGTGGTTCTCAACCTTCTGGCCCTTTAAATACAGTTCCTCATGTTGTGACCCAACCATAAAATTATTTTCGTTGCTACTTCATAACTGTAATGTTGCCACTGTTATGAATCGTAATGTAAATATCTGATATGCAGGATGGTCTTAGGCGACCCCTGTGAAAGGGTCGTTCAACCGCCAAAGGGGTTGCGACCCACAGGTTGAGAACCGCTGTACTAGCCTATAGACTTTGTAGGGCTGAGACCACGTCCTATTTTTCTTTGTACCTCCAACACCGACCACAGTGACATGCAGATGAGAGTCGCCCCATGAGTACACAGTGAAGGCATGAGTAAATGAACTGTGCTAGATGCCAGGGGTGTAGTGAAGAAAACAGAATTTGCGATGTATATCTGCACTGACCTTACCATCAGTTATGCTGGCTTCACAGTCATTAGACAGTGTAGTTTGCCAGACAATCAAATCAGCCATCAAAGACAGCTGTGACTAGCCCAAGAAAGAAGAAATACCAAATTGTCCTTATGCAATTTGTTTTTGTTCCAGTCATTCTGGATGCTTGAAGAACTTTCTGGTTTCTCAGGAAGCTCATACGACCCATTCAGACCAGAGTGACAGAAAGAAGTAGAGGAAAACAAAACCAGAGAGACTGAGCGAGACCTGCCTTCCACCTTCAGGAGCCTTTTCAGTTTCGTGTGTCCGGGAGTGACACGAGATCGCCCCTCTTTCTACCGAAGTATGAAAAGACGTCTGTCCCTCATTTTGAGTGCTGCCAACTGATCCAAGTGTCACCCCAGAGGCGGGGGCAGCTCGTGTGCAGCTCGGGGTGCTCGTCCCCACCCCCACACCTCAACTGGGGCTGCAGATCATTAATCAGAATAAAGCATGTCCACATTCACAGTCCGGGGGCCTCCTGTCCTCTTCTTTAAGAGAAGGGCACAAGCAACAGTATGCAATTTCTTGGGATCCACGGGTCATTTTCAGTTTAAGAGATCAGCAGAAACATTTACTTCCCATCCTGAATCAAGACCAAGGGCCAGTCGGTCTCATTCAGAGACATTGTCATATGGGCCCTCTCCTGACCCACAGAGTGCAGGCCAGGAGGCCCTGCTGCCTTTCCTTCGGAGCCAAGTTTTCCATGAGGCAGATTGGTGTGCAATCCCATCTTTAATCCCTAGTAATTTGGTGATCATCAGCGAATGACTGAACCTCCCTGAGTCCTATCACCCTTGTGTGTGAAATGGAGATGAGAATATCTACCGCATCGGGTTGTTTGGAGACTAATGAAATAACATAGGCCACATGCATGGCATGGGACCAGGGACATTAGTGGCTGCTCTTCTTCCCACCTCTTCCCTAAACTGCAGAGCATGAAGAAAGCACTAGACCAGTAGGGGTATAGTTGAACAGTTAATTTCTGGGGAAATTCTGAACACATTTCCTCCAACAAGATACATGATTCATGGGGGTTGAGTGGCCAGGATACCCACAAATCTGTTTAATTCCTGATGTGTATGTAGGCGGAGTTGTATATTTAAGATTAATGGGAGGTAAATATATTTCCTCCTATGCCATTACATGCACTCCCTGACCCCTCACAGATACTTTCAAATGTTTGTGACCCCCATTGAGCACTTAGTATGCGACAGAAGAGAGAGGAATTGCAAGACTTGTTTTACAGGCGAGCTAATGGAGGTGTGGAGAGGTCAGGTTTCTTGCTTCTTGCTTGCATGGTTTCTGAGAAGTACAGTGTAATTCTTATCTGCACTCCTCTATAGATGAGGCATTTCATTCCTCTGGCTTCTTTCATGATTTTTTTCTTGATCTTTGATGTTCCACAGTGTGAGTGAGTATGATGTGGTGGTTATTCTTCTTGGTGTTCTCTAAGCTTCCTGGATCTGTGGTTTGGTGACTAGCATTAATTTGGGGAAATGCTGTCATTATTGCTTCAAATATTTATTTTTGTTCCTTTCTTCTCTTCCTGGTTTTCCCAGTAATTAATCACCTTCAGAAACAGAGCTCATCAGGCCCAGTTGGGTTCCCTGTTGAATTCTACCCATCAGACTGGTTCTCTATAATCTCTTTCAGAAGATAGAAGCAGAGGTCATGCTTCTTAACTCATTCTATGTGGCTAGCATTACCCAAACACCAAACTCAGACAGACATTGTAAGAAAAGAAAACTACATTCCTTAAATGTTTTTGTTGAATTCACCAGGTGACCCATCTGGGCCTGATGATTTCTGCTTTGTAGAGTTGTTACTTATCGATTGAATTTCTTTAGCAGATATATAGGCCTATTTAGATTGTCTGTTTTCTCTTATATGAATACTGGAAAATTGTGTCTTTCAAGAAATTGGTCCATTTCACCTGGGTTATCTAATTTGTGGTATAGAGCTGTCCATAGTATTCCCTTATTATCCTTTTAATGTCCATGGGATCTGTTCTGACGTCCCCTCTTTCATTTCTGGTATTAATAACTTGTGCGCTCTCTCTGTTTTTCTTAGTAGTTTGGCTAGAGGCTTACTGATATTATGGATCTTTTCAAAGAATCAGTTTTTGGTTTCATTGATTTTCTCTATTGACTTTCTGTTTTCAATTTCATTGATTTCTGCTCTGATTCTTATTATTTATATTTTTCTGCTTGCTTTGGATTTAATTTGTTATTTTTCTAATTTTCCATTTAGTATCATTAATAGCATGCATATATATAACTCCCAATAATTATGTCATGAATATGCATCTTTAAAAACCTCAGCCAGTTTGAAAGTATCCTAGCCCCTTAAGGCCGAGTTTCTCAGCCTCAGTTCCACTGATATTTTAGGCTGGATAATTCTTTGGGGGGGGGGTGGCTCTCCTGTGCTTTGTAGGATGTTTGGCAGTATCCCTGACCTCTGTCTACTAGGTGCCAGTAACACTCCCTGTCCCCCAGCTTTGACAACAAAAACTTTTCCAGACACTACCAAATGGCCCCAGAGAGGCAAAATGGCCCTGGGTTAGTACTACTGCCTTCGGGTCATAAAAACCTTAAGGTCATAGAACCAATGCAGGTGGTTCTACAAGGAATGAAAGTTTAAAAAATATCAGTGCCTTGACTTATACTTTGCTGAATGAATGAGTGAGTGAGTGAATGAATGGGCAAGCCACCTGGAGCCCCTTTGATATATTTCTTTTAGGTCTCATCCGAATGATCCCTGGGCTAGTAATTAAGTTCTAAGATGCTTAAGTGAGAGGCAACAACACCACATCCATTTATTCAGTGCTCTGTACAAGTTGTATGATCTGGGACAAGTAGTTCAAACTCTTTGAGTCTCAACTTCATCAGTTCTCAAATGGGGATATTAACCCATGCTGCAAACAAGATCTTTGGGATAATTACACGAGATAGTTGATGTAAAGCATACAGTACTAAAAGTCTAGGTACTCACTCCTTCCGTGCAATAGACAAGAGGAATTTCAGCAGGATGCCCTCTGGCTCTTGCTTCTAATCTTTACCCCTCAAAAAGCACCAGGGTAATTTGAGCATATACTTTTTTATATATATAAACATGTAGGGACTGCCTGACACATTGCCAGGAACTGACATTATCGATCCAACTCATCCCTCACAAGCAACCAGGTTGGTTAAGAGGCCCAGAGAGTTGTGATTTGCCCTGGATCACACAGCTAATAAGGACCTCAGAAGGCTCAGTCAGCACTCAGGGCTGGCTAGCCTGCTGGCCACCATTGCCCTCATCACACTGGGGCCTGTGTGCATTGTGAATTTGGGGAAAATGCTTTGCATATTCTGTGTTCTGTAGTCTCTTATAGATGTAGATGATCAGATCGGGGAATTTCTCCTGAAAATACCGGGAAGGGTCTTGAATTTTCAACTTCATCCTGAAATGAAATGTAAATATTTTGGCAGGCATGCTCCCAATGCTTCCCCCTTTATAGCACATGGCCTGGAGATCACTGTGCTCCCATGATCTATAATAATAAAAGTGTAATATGCGAATTAGACCAGACTTCCTTCTAGATGACCTTCCAGATGAAGCCGGGGCTGTGAGGGCCTAGACAGCTACTGGGGTGGGTGGAGGCTGGGGCAGAGGCAGCCGCTGAGGCGGTGGGGGCCCAAGCCCCTTGCACGAATTTCGTGCATCGAGCCTCTAGTTTCTATAGAAGAGAGAATAAGGACTTGGGAATCTGACAGAGCAAGAGTCATCGCCTGATTCTTCAACTATCTGTGAACTTTGGCAATGTGATGTCTGTGAACCTCAGTTTTATCATCCATGAAATGGACATCATACAATTCCACAATTTTTTATCTACATTTCCAAAATCCAAAAGAGCCCTAGAAGCAGAAAGTTGTTGTTGGTGGTTGTTTTTTAATGAGTTTGCAGCTAACATTTTTGGCAGTAAACGCTGACTTAACTAACATGGGGCTACTTCCTAGATTTTTTAAATGTTACATTCACTTTACCCAGCTGCCCAGTTCACTGTGGTTCCACAAGGGAGTCACTAGCCTGGTGTTCAGTGGGACCCAGCAGAAGTTAAGGAAGATGAGCCCTAACCAGTTTGACCCAGTGGATAGAATGTTGGCCTGTGGACTGAAGGGTGCAGAGTTCAATACCGGTCAGGGGCACATGCCTGGGTTGCAGGCTCAATCTCCAGTAGGGAGCGTGCAGGAGGCAGTCAATCAATGATTCTCTCTCATCATTGATGTTTCTATCTCTCCCTCTCCCTTCTTCTCTGATAATCAATAAAAATATTTTTTTACAAAAAATAGAAGAAAGATGGGAGCCTACTGGTCACGTCCATCATTCATTGTAAGACCCATGTAGTGGCCCTTTTCCCAACACAGGGGAGGAGTTACTTTTCTTTCATCAAAATTAACTGTGCTCTTCCCATCAAATAGCAGGTATAAATTCAGAACTGGATTTTTAGATCTTCTCATTTCAAATATGACTTACAGGAATGAAAACAATACTTACCATCTATTCTTTTCTTCATTAATGTGTTCCCCCAAATTCCGGATGAACCTTAGCAAATCACCCACAGTATCCTCGTATTTTAAATCGGGGTTTTTTCTATAAAACCATTGCATTCTTTTCATAATGCGTTTGTCAATCTAAACAACAAAACATTTCACACAAATGTGGTAGCAATGCAAAATAAATCCTGGTGACATACAAATTTGAATATGTGTCAAAATTACTACTATTAAAAAAGCAGTGGTAACAATAGTTGTGTTTGGATATGGGATTCGGTAACTAAATTTGTCTGTTTCCAAAAGAAATTAAATATATTAACACATGGTTCAGAAAATCTTTGGCCACTGTGCTAGGAGATGTGCTCATTATACTATACCATACTTTTATCCTTGTGGCCACCCTTCCAATATGATCATGGTTGTTTTGTTTGTTTGTTTTTTCTTTTGAATTATATTTCCAAAGGGGTTACATATTTCTCCTTGCCTCTAGGTGTCCCAGGGCAACTTCGGTCATAGTAATGCCTCCCTCTTTGTGCTGGCACCCTTGTAGATGGCTTCATATTTAGAAAGAGTTTGGAATAAGGGAACAAGACGCAACAACCATGAGGCCATAGGTCCCTTAGGAAGAGTGAGTGGTGCCTGGGCCACGGCTAGAGAAGACCTGTTGAGACGGCCCACATGTACTATGGTGGAGGACATGTGGGAAATGCTGAGCCACGTGTATGTGGCGGGGTGGGGACGGAAGGCAGGAATATACACCGGGAAACGTGGCTCTGGACCTGAGCTGCCAAAAACTGATTGTACGACCATGAACATGGGCAAGCCACCAAAATCAACAGGAAAAAAAAAAGTCTAAAATGGAAATTAAAAGATAAGGCCTGAAGTTCATCAAAATTAAATATAAGTCAATGCAGTTTAGGGGAAACAACTAATGAATTAGGGAACAAAATAATAGGGTTCTCTTCCCAACTCTGCCAATCTCTGCCTTTCCAGTCCTGGGTATTATGGGAGCCTCAATTTCCTCAACAACTAAATGGCTGGGTGGCCTGATGGCATCAGAGTGTTATGCAGTGAGTGGCTTTAGTGCGCAGGTTCCGTAGCCAAACTGCCCAGTTTCAAATCCCGCTGTACCCCTTACTGGCTATGTGCCTTTGGAAAAATTGTCTGCCTCAGTTTGCTCACCTGCAAAATGGAGATATTTGCCTCAGAGGTTGTTATAAGGATTAACTGTGGTGACTCACTGAAGTCCTCAACTGTAGCTGCCATGTAGTCAGCACGACATAGTCCTTAGCTATAACTATCATCTGCTCTGGTTCCTCATTTCTCTGTTTCTACAAGTTTAAGTCTCAGCTGAAGTTTTATAGATATTCATTTGGCAAAGAGTCATGGCACACCCACTTCATGCCAGGAATAGAATAACAGACAAGATAACGGATGGTCTCTGCCCTTGTGGAGCTTATAGGATAGCAGGAAAAATGAACAATAAGCTGACATTTATGAGTGTGATGTGTAATCTAGAGTCAAGTGAGGGAAGGAAAGCGAAATGAGACCCAGAAACAAAGAGGTGTGGGAGAAGCAGAGTCCTAGATTGACCTAAGATAGGGAAGCTGCTGGTCTCAGTCAAAGACTTCTGGATTCTCTCATAGTGCTTTGTACCTGTCTCTGGGTGCCCAGCATGTATCATTGTTTCTGTGAGTCTCCCGGCCCTACCTTGGCCATGCCATACTCTCCTTTGTATACTCATGACCTCACATGGGCCTAGCACATACCTAGTACTTGTTGGATGTGTGCTAATTAATAATAATGAAAGTTCTGATAGTACTGACTAGATCAAGATGGTGATTAATTTTGATGTTCCACTATATTTAGTTCAAGTTAGGTGGACCTTTTCTTGAAGAGGAGGAATTTGAAAGATCATCTCCTCTTCATAGTCTGCTTTCTCGGGCAGAATGTAGGTGTGTTGTGTGGATCCTCAGAGCTGGGCTGTTCACAGGCAGCAGAGGCCCTGGACTGAAGGGCCTCATGGTGGAGCCCTTCCTCTGGATTAAGCCCTATCTAGTCAGCTGCTCTTGTTACCATGGCAATAGGATCATTAGCCAGGCCCTTCTCAGAAAATAAGTCTTGAGGGAACGAGCCACAGAAAAGGAAAAGGCTCATGGCTGGGACAAGACTATCCTAAAGATGAGCCTAGATGGGAGTCTGTCAGGAGGGCTTGGCCTCTACAAGGGCAGGGGAGGGGGGGGTGGCCAGAGACCCAAAAGGTAGAGGGGACTAGGATGGGGAGAAAGAAAAGGGAAATCCTTTCTTTCACTTCTTGGTTGGGCCAGGCCAACAGTATATAAAAAAGAAAAACTATGATAAAACATTACACAGCTTCTTATTCCTTAAATAACCTCCAGACTGTAGGAATTGTTCATACCTCAGAGGTCCACTTATCAAAACTTCTGGAAGGTTCAGATGGTCTAGGTCGCAGTAGTTGGAGGATACTGAGTTCTTGGCTTTGTATTTTCGTTTTGATGTCGGATTCATTTCCCACATCCCTAAGGGTCCTATAGCGGCTGAGGATGACAGAATTATCATGGTCATTCCATCCTTGCCACTCTTTCAAGAAAGACAAAACTGTTAGATTTTGGTTTTTAATAGAAGTAATAAAACTATGTCTTTAAAAATTCTGCATGATGGGAGAGACAGGCATCTCTCTGTTTCTCTCTCTCTCTCCCTATTCTTCAGAAGAGAGAAACAGAACCCAGAGGGGTTAAGTCACCACTCCAAGGACACACAGCCAGGAAATGCCCAGGTGGATCTGCTGATTCTCAGCCGGACTCCCACCCACACCATTAATCACGGTGATGATTAATTTTACATGTTAACTTGACTGATCACAGGGTGCCCAGACTAAACAGTTTTCTGGCTGTGTTTGTGAGGGTGTTTCCAGATGAGATTGGCGTTTACATCATTGGGCTCAGTAAAGCAGATTGTCCTCTCCGGTGTTATATGTCTTTCCTATTGGTTCTGTTTCTCTAGAGAACCCTGACTACAGCACTCACTGTCTCCATGCAGGGGCCTGTGACATACACGTAAGTTTTACTTACCTCTCCCAACTCCAGAAGAAAGGATGACCCAGCAGGTCACTCAGAAGGTTCTCCACATTTCCCCCAGGCCAGAACAGCTGCTGAAGGAGGTCCTGAATTTCTTCATTTGGAGACAATGTAATCACTTCCTCGTTGCTTTGAGTCTTCAGCATCTCAAAAGGGATGTCTCCCTTCCTTACCACATATAGGACCAGCCGTCCAAGGGCCTGCACCAGAACCAGCAATCAAGCCAAAGCTGCTTACGCACGATCACTCTATTTGGGTAACTTTGGAGCGTGTGGTACAGGCTAGGGGCAAATGGAAAATGGGAGGAATATCTCAAGGAGTCCACAGGCTGGTTAGGGAGAGAAGACACAGGTTGGTGCATAGAGAACTCTTCCAGGCGGTATGTAGGCCTCACAGTTCAGGTCTATAAGGAGAAAAAAAGAATCCTGGGCCAGAGTTGCCAAGACAGACTACCTGGAGAAAGAGGAATTTGAGCTGGACATCAAAGTATGGGTAAAAGTTAGATAAACATGAGGAAGAGAGAAGGTTTTAAACCAGGGGGATGCCAGGAGCTGGGAACTGGGACTTTGGGTTGGGGCTATGTCAGTCAGCAGGTAAAGGAGCCAGGCCAGGTCCAGCCGGATATAGTGATGGGCCCAGGGGTTAGGCCACAACAGGGAGGAAAGGCCAAGAAGGAGGCCAACATCGGAATGCCTGCATCAGGCAAGACACCAATCAGGGGAGGAGCTGAAATCTGGAGCCACTGAACCACCAAGGCCAGACCCAGGGATGAAGAGCCCTGGTCCATTGGGGTGAAAGTTCGACACCCTGGAGACTCTCCAGGAGAAATCTGCGCTGACCCAATTGGAATCAATGGGGAACTTTGGTCTTCAGAGGCCAGGCTCTGTCTCAGAGAACCAGATATTCCAGGATCTTCACCTTTTTAACCAAACTTAGTCTCTTTCGAGCTGGGGAATCCCAACCAGGTGTTTTCAAGGGCCTTAGAATCTGGCCCTCTTTGGAGTTTGAATGGAGTGGGAAAAGAAATCTTATTTACTACTGGAATTCTGGAGCTGTTTTGGAGATAGCTGCTGGAAGTAATTTGAGAAAGAAAGAGATCCAAAAAGACACAGAAAGAAGCCACAGTGACAACCAATCCACACCAGCCTAGGGAAACGCCATTGTCTGCAAGGGAGTGACAGCAGGGAGCACGGGGGGAATTCCTTGAAAGTTCTTTCCTTCCTGGTTAAAATAGGGATGTCCTCTAATTGGCCATAGAAAATAAGGTAATGAATGAATAAGGAAGCAGAGAGATGGAAAAGTTAGCCAACTACAGAAATTACCTCTAGATCGCTCTTGACTTGCTCCGGTTCTCCAGCCCACTTGATGCTTTTATCAAAATCTGCCACACGAACAGCCTTCTTGGAATCTAAGGAATAGTTTGTAGAGAGTGGTGCATTGAAAATCCTCATTCTCCATGCTGTGAGTAATTCATTTAAGTAAATATGTAACCCAGTAGGCAATCCATCGTCTCTAAAGAAGGCCATAATAAAACTTATTATGTTTGTTCCTCAAAACACTCATGTGCCCTGTGTCATTTGACCTATGACGCATCTGCCAATAGCAAGTCTTATATTTTATTTTTCCCAAGCCAGGGGGTGGGGAAGGATGAGGAGACCTTTAACCAGCACCCCATTCATGCAATTCCTGGGGGTAAAGAGCAGAGATTTGTAAAGGAGCTGTGGGCAGAGTTAAGGTTACATCCTATGGCTAAAGAACAACTAGCCCACAAGGCTCCAAACCCAAGGCCACTTTAGCATACTACTCTATAACATAGCATAACAAATCTAGCCCGCTAGCCACAGCCCACAATGACACTGTCATCAGTTACCATGGATCCACCCTGTGCTTGTGCTGAGTCACTGCCTCCTTGCCCTCTTCAGAATCTTTCTTCCTTGAAGGAAGCCACTGAGTCCTCAGACAGAGGGATGCAGGGATGAGAATGGTCAGGAACAAGATGACAGGAGGGCAAGTCAGTGATTGGTCATCGAAGAGGTGGCTCCTGCTTTTTGCTTCAAGGAGTCTGAGAAGGAAGGCTGGGCAACCCCATATAGATGATGGCCAGAGCAGTTGTGTGCTTCTGGAGCCCCTTTTATTGTAAACTTAGACATCCTGTGTGGAAATCCATCAAATTATTCAACAAGTGTTTGGTGAAGGGAAAAGGCCCGTGAAAGGGGGAACACAGTCTCTGCCTAGGGAGTGTAGAGTCTCAGGCTGAGGAGACACATAATTACAGATACACATGAAATTAATTGCAGTTTTGAAAATGCTAGCCAAAAGGGCAGGATGCTCTGGAAGTGTCTTCCTAAAAAAGCTACATGGCTGGGGTGGGGAGGAGTCTTCTTTGTGAGTAGAGTCTGGGTAGGTGAGCAGAGTGGAGAAGGAAGAGAGAACTCCAGGTAGGAATTCCTGAGACAGAAAGGAACCTGGAGAATTCCACCGTGACAGAGAGAAGGCCCAGAGAGGAGGAATTAAGTCAGAAAGTGGCTTGTGATGAGGTTGAAGGGGTAGATGGGGGCAGATTATAAACCCCAGATGGTTTTCAGTTATGAGAACTTTTCTCATAAATTCCCTTCATGTGTTTAAGCCACTTGAGTGCTTGCTTGGAATCTGTTTCATGGTATTGCATCTTGTCCTGGCATCCCCAATTTTGACCTGTTTTGCCATTAAGTTTCACAGTAACTGCCACCTTGTCTGAAGGAATACACCTTCAGGATTCTCTGACTTGAAGACTATTCTGGGAATCCAAATTTCTGGAGCTGGCTCCATCCAAGACATACCTTCATATTTGTATTTGCCAAAGGCAATATGAGGTTAGCTGGTATTCCATTAGCAGCCATGACCTACATGCGGAGGAAGGGTTACAACTGGGAGCAGGAGAGACTGCACTGTAATTATGACTTTGTTGCACTGACCCTCAAACTGAATAATCCACATTGACTCCAGTCCTTTCCCATCTGCAATGAAAATGCTTTCCTTTTGTCAAAAAGGACCCCACAATTTCTAAGACACCACTGGGGACTCACCTATTAAGATGTTTTGTGGCTGTAGATCCTGGTGAGTGTATCCACATGACAGGATACACTCCACGGCCTTAAATATAGATAAGAGGATGTTTCGGCCAAACTCATCTTCCTCGTTTTCCACAGCCTCCCCTCTGCGCTCTGCCAAATGCCCCTCTAGTGTCTGCTCGCAGAGGGAGATGCACACATACAGACAGCCCTTGTGGATCTCATGCCCGTAGATTGTCACCAAGTTACTCTTCCCTCGGATGCTCTGTAGACAGGAGATTTCCCTTTGTCCATGACTGCTGTCTTCAGAGAATCGCTTCACAGCTACCTCTTGCTCGTCATAGAACCCCAGGTAGATGCCTCCCTCTGAACTGTCCGCGATTTTATATTCTTCATCCCTAAAGATCTTGAGTCTGCCGATCATAGGGCGGTATATCCTGTGGAGATGTTTCAGGGCCGGCCCCCAATGTGAGCTCTGAGGCTCCCAGTCTCCAGCTGGAGGGTGATAATCTTCTCTGGCTCCATGATGGAGAAGAAGCTTTACAAGGGAACTGTTGTAATGGCGCCTCGCTAACATAACAAGGTTCCCACAATCCGTGCTGGCTCCTTTGCCACACAGCAACTCGGCAATTTCCTTCAGATTGAGTTCGACAGCCCACAGCAGTGCTGTTTTGCCCTCCCTGTCTGTGTCATCAATCTCGATATGTTTTTGTTCCAGAAACATCTGTACCAAAGTCAAGTGCTTCTTTTCCACTGCCAGGATCAGGGGCGTCTTCCCTCCTTCTCCGCTCACATTGACATCGGCCCCATGGTGCAACAGAAGGCGAGTGATGGCCACCACATTACTGTCATCAGACCTCGCAAGAGCATGGATCAAAGCATTTCTGCCCATGTTGTCACGAGCTCTGACATCTGCCTCCATCTCTTCAAGAAGGATCCTCAAGACATCTACCTGTCCGTACTTAGCAGCATCCATGAGAGCGGTGGCCCCTCCTTTCTTAAGCCTCTCTTGGTCCTCCATTGTCTTTCGACCCAAATTTACTTCTGCTCCGTTCTCATACAGGAATCTTAAGGCTTCGACCTTACCATACACAGCGGCTTCCATGAAAGCCGTAAAGCCGTGAAGATCCCGCTCATTGATATCTGCACCTTTTGAAAGGAAAAGTTTGAGCAGCCTCACATTTCCCACAATCCCAGCGACAATGAAGGGGGTAGCCCCATTCCTCTTCCTCAGACAAGGGTTAGCACCATAGCGAAGCAGCAGTTCCACAATGTCCTCATTGTCCATTTGCACTGCGTTATGCAGAGGGGACCAGCCCCATTCCTCTTCCTGGAAATTGACATCAGCCCCTCCTTCCAGCAACTGCTTGACCAGCTCCATGTCTTCTTGTTTAACAGCTTTTATCAACAAATGATTGTTGTCCCCGGAAGTCCCCCCATTGCCAGAGGGTGTGGGTCTGTCCTGGGGGTTGTTATGGCTCTTGGTCTCCATGATCATAAATACCACTGGTTACAACTTTTTGCCTTTGAGAAAATGAAAACTTATCTCCTTGGGACTTGATCAAAGAAACATGGAGCTCTAGAAACTCCTGTAATGATAAATCAGGATTATCTGACTACAGATCAGCAGTATGAGGAAGGACAATACCCTGGGAGTCTTCTGACATTACACCTGGAGACAAAAGAGGTATTTTGTAATTTTATAATAGTCAGAAAACATTTGAATTAGAAAAAAAAATGAATTTTACTAGCAACATTTTCAAAATACTCCTACTTACTTATTATAGAGGCCCAGTGCACGAATTCGTGCATGGGTGGGGTCTGGCTGGCCTGCCCCCATCAGGGTTGATCAGGCCTGGCCAGCCAGGGGGAGGGGACATGGGAGGTTGGCCAGCCAGCCCTGCCCCCATCGGGATTGGGGGGCAATTAGGGGCAGGGCTGACAGGGGTGGGGGGGCCCACGGGCGGTTGGCGGGCTGGCCCTGCCCCCTGGTTGAACTCTGGTTGAACTCCCTGTCCAGGGGATAATTTGCCTATTACCCTTTGATTATATAGGATGTATTACATAATATTATACATATACATATATAAAGTCAAATAATGGAAACTATTACTCTATAATCCCATTACCCAGAAACAGACAATGGCAATATTTTAGAACATGTCAACGCATCCTATTCTCCCCACCCATCTGCACAAACATACTACACAAATCGGACCTGGGAGTGTCAGTTTAGTCCAACTGCCCTCAATCAGTTCAGAGCAAGTGACATCCAATTTAAGCATCAGATTGCACCGAAGTGTTATCTGGATATTTACTGCATCTGCTCCCCAATTCACACAGCCAGCAGTTTTCAGCGATCTCAGCACTGTCTCCAAGTCTCCACCTTCTGAGGTCCAAATCAACGGTGCTGCCTGAGCACAACACCCAGCAATGAAACCATTGATCCAAGTGTGTCTGTTACAGCTGAGAGGGGCCAGCCTCAGGAAAGGAGCAGCGAAGGAAAGAAACCCTGAGTGAAATATCCGAGTGGAGGATAGATCATCCCAACAAAAGCAGGGTGAGGGCACTTCCTGCTTTCAGTTTCATTTTCCCCACTTGACCGGAGGTGCCTGGTAAACAGAGCCGACTTGAATAAATAATGTGTGGATTGTGGCAGAACCTTGGCATTCTCAGGAAGGCTCAGGACTCAAGGGCCCTGGGATGCCTCTTGCTGCCTCTCCTTTCTCTCCCAAAGTCCCACACCCCTTTCACCTCCAAATCCCCAAAGCCCAGGGAATCCTTCAAAGAAAAGAACTTCTCAGTCTTTTCCAGCTCTCCCCCTTCTGCTTATCTTACCTTCTAAACTCCGCCGCCGCCTCTGTTACTTCCTGTCAGCACCTAATCTTAAATACTGCTGCCAGCAGAAAAAAATTCCTCTGGTCACAGTCACTGAGCCAGGGGGGTGGAGCCAAGAAAGGAGTGAGCAGGGAGCGAAGGGAGGGTAATCTGGCACACAGGCACTCCCTCTGGAAGGCGTAGCCTGTGCAGCCAGAGCTTTTATACCCTCTAGAGCAGTGGTTCTCAACCTTCCTAATGCCGAGACCCTTTAATACAGTTCCTCATGTTGTGGTGACCCCCAATTTCATTGTTACAAATTGAACATAATTAAAGCATAGTGATTCATCACAAAAACAATATGTAATTATATGTGTTTTCCGATGGTCTTAGGCGACCCCTGTGAAAGGGTCGTTCGACCCCCAAAGGGGTCGCGACCCACAGGTTGAGAACCGCTGCTCTAGAGAAAAGTGGTGGCTCTTCTCTGACGGCCGGTGACCAATTTGATGTCCAAGGTCATGCTGCTCACCTCTCAGCCTTTCAGGTCACAGCCTCCAGCTTGATCCTCACCACCTTACTCCAAATCCCCTATCTTCTTGAGGGAAATGAGTGGAAAATAAACATTTATTGAGCACTGACTTGGGGGCCTGCCACTCATTGCTTCACTGTCCCAGTTACTCCCTAACCGTCCTGCTGATGAACTGGGACTCAGAGAAGCTAATGTAAGCCCAGAGTCCAAGCTCCCTCACCCATCTAGGCACCCATATTATTGCAAATTCTACTCTCACTCAGGCAGCTGCCCTGGCCACGTTTCCTCCCTCTGGAGATTTCATTTCCTCATCTGTGTGATTGGTAATCCTACTTATCCTCACGGAGCTGCTGTAAGGACTAAATGAGACCAGGGATCCCCCACAATGTTTGTTCCCTTCTTCCTTTCCCAGGCTCTTACACTCAGAATCCCTCAGGCATCACTCACAGAATCCATCGCCTCTTAGATCTGGGCTTAGCGTGTGGTTCCTGGGGTTTTCTACCCAATGTACCTGAGGTCTGGTCACTTTACTCAGGCTGACAGCAGGGGAGCAATAAAAGTGGACATAAGGTCCAGATCCGTATAGAAACAGATAATTCAACATAGGGAAGAATTTTTTTAAAAAAATAGTGGTAATGAGAGAAAGAATTAGAGATCCATAGGGTGAGAAAGGAGAACAGATTTGGATCCTTGCAAACCTCCCCCCAAAGTCCTCAAGCCCCACTCACCCATTATTCCTTCAGCCCTGGAATGGAGCAGTCGCACATACAGAGTGGCTTCCCCTAGCTCAGTGGTCGGGAAACCGCGGCTCGCGAGCCACATGCGGCTCTTTGGCCCCTTGAGTGTGGCTCTTCCACAAAATATCACGTGCGGGCGCGCACATACAGGGAACATTATGGAGTGAAAGAAGATGTCGAGGATTGAGAAAGGTATGTTGAGATGGTTGGGACATATAGAGAGGATGAACAAAAGGAGATAGACAAACAAGTATACAAGACGAGTGTGGATGGGAGAGTTGGAAGGGGTCGACCTCAGCGAACGTACCTCAATCAGATTGAGGACGTTTTTGGCAAAGGCCAGCTTAGGAGTACCCTAATTAAGTTAATAACAATGTACCTACCTATATAGTTTAAGTTTAAAAAATTTGGCTCTCAAAAGAAATTTCAATCGTTGTACTGTTGATATTTGGCTCTGTTGACTAATGAGTTTGCCGATCACTGCCCTAGCTCATCGCAGAGACGTCAGTGAAATGACTCCAGAATACGACTTTGAAGGTGTATGAACTTATAAGATACTCATGAAGCGGGAAATGGGCAAAAGTAAAAATGACTACCACCTGATAATGTCTAGCTACTGGACCAAGGGGAGCAGCCCTTGTGCTGGTACAGGCAGAACCGGTCACGGCTGTGCTGTCTCTATTCAGAGGACAAAGTCACATGGGCTCCGAAATGACAGCAGGCTGAGCTGAGTCCCACCAACATGACCTAACAGCCCAACACAAGTTGGGTCCACCATGATGGATGGGCTCCACCCTTAGTCCCTGTCGCCCTCTCTGCCCTTCCACCAGTTCCCAGCCAAACATGGGTCTTTCATCACCTGTGACAGGGAAGCTCATCCCTCTCTCCTTGTGGGACTGGCGGAGGCCAGTTCCTCCACAGGACTCTCTCGCCCCACGTCCCCTGACCACACACACAGCCCATGGAGACAGGATCTCACGTTGGGGTTTTATTTTTTATTTTATAAGAATATAACATGCTGCAACAGGAAACACAGGGATTGAGTACATCATCTGTATCTCGGAAACCAGCTCCAGTTGTCAACAATAAATAAATATTTCAATAGTGAGGAGTCCCTGACCGGCGCCAAGAGGTTCCCAGCACATCCCAAGGTAGAGAGCCTGGTGGCGGGAGGGACACAGGCTGCCAGGTCCTGCTGAGATTCTCGGGTCGAGGCAGACTATGGTCACAATAATATAGTCACAATAATAAATAACAATAGCAATCACACCCACAGACAGTAACAAAAATAACATGCTCTGGCAGTCGTCACAGAACCAACAAGACGTTATAACTTAAATAATTGTCTCCTGGAGGAGCTCACAGTGCAGCGAGAACAGGGCTGATTTCCCGGGCACAGGGGGCGGCCGCCTGGTCCATCACCTCCCAGCCTGGCCTCCTGCGCAGGCCCCCCCTCAGCAGATTTGTTCAGCGATGCCCTGAGGTGACAGGCAGGTTCCGATTTTCCCAGCCCTGCTCTTCACGCAGCCTCTCTCTGTAACTCCACTCCCAGCTCCTGGGATCTGTCCAAGGGTCATCGTGGTCCCTCAACATTGCGGTAAGTGCCCCTCGCACCCACGGGAAGGAGACAGAGGCTCCCCCCCTTCCAGCCTGGGTGCCTCTTTTCCCCTGTTCTCATCCTCACACAAAAATATTGGCTTGACTTAAACAGAACTTTCAGGAACTGTCAAGAGATTTCTATCTTAGGGTCCTTTTCCCCCTCCTGCACACAGCTGGGCATGAGAGCCGACTAGCCACTCCCCGAGAGGGGCCACCCCTTCCTCCTCGAGGGCGAGGGCGTGGGTTCAAGGGTGGAACCGAGCTGAGGGGGCGTATCCCAGCAAGAGGCCCTGCTCACGTGTGCACCCTGCTGCAAACACAAGGTCAGGGACCACCTGCAAGGTCACCAAGAGCACCAAGGTTCATTTCCCATGAGCAAGATGGCTTCTCTTGGGGGCTCTCCGCTGACTTGGAAGTGGGCCCAGAGGCCAGTGTTTGAGGTATAAAAATCTCCCTTGGGGCCAGCGTCACGCTGGTCCCCTGGCCTTGAAAAGACTGTGAGGCTGGACACGGGAGTGTTAAGAAGTACAAGCTAAAGGGCCCTTGGGCGGCCGAGGCAGGTGGGGCGGATGGAACGGGAAGGGTCCGCGTCCAGGGCTCCCTCCTGTGCCCAGGACAGCCTGGGAATGAGGCACACAGGCTGTGACCCGTCCGCTGTGCCACAGGCAAAACAGCTGACCTGGCTATCTTCCCTCCCATTTTTGAGTTTCCCTTTATTTACATTTCCCAAACCCCCCTGGACTCTTTCCTGCCCCGTTGAGAATGACAAGAGCCCGTGATACCTCCTGCACCACCATCCTTTTCCCCAGAGAGCACCACACCACCGTGACCTTCAGCCCTCATCCGCAAGTCCTGGGAGTGGGAACGACCCTCTCATGCATGAAGTTCAGTCCCACCGTTTCTGGAGGAGAGGCTGTTGCTTCCAAAAACAAACAAAAACCACACAGCTTTGTCCTTCACTGTCCTCTTGTTTGCTTTGCAGAACCTGCCTCCCACACAGGGGCAGCTGCCTCAGGGCTGGGTGACTCAACCTCTCTTCCCGGCTGGCTCCTCGCTGCCACGAGGCTCAGGTGTGTGAGGGCTCGGCTGAGCTGCCGCTGGACGGAGAGGCGTTGGTGGCCGAGGCCTGGGCAGCCAGGTCCTGGTAAGCGGGTGACTTCAGGAAGCGCGGGTAGGAGTCCTTCTCCATCAGGGTGCGCGTCTTCCCCTGAGCCACATCGAAGCACGTGGCCGTGGCAGCCTGCAGGTTGGTCCTGGTCAGCTCCCTGGTCTCGTGGTCTATGTTCACCTGTGGGAAGGAGGGCAAGCGCATGGCTGAGTGGGGGTTGCGGGGCACGGTGAAGGGTCCAGCAGGCAGAGGGAGGAAGGACTGGCAGCTGGGGCAGTGGAAGGAGCCCTGGATTCTGAACCAGGAACCCGGGTCTCCAGAGTCCATTATTAAGTGGCTTTCAACTCTGGGCCTGTCCCCACATCTGACCCAGTGTCTGCCCTCCAATCTCTCAGAATCCTCAAGCATGTGTTAAGACTGTCCACAGATGCAACCCCTTTTCACCCCTTGCTCTCTACCAACCACTCCTAGGTTAGTGCCAGAGCCTGCTAGCGGGTCATCCCCCCACCCCTCCCCTTCTCTCCCCTCCCGCCTTCTACCCCCCCCCCCGCCCCTCCCCCGAGTCTGTTCTCCTTTGGCAGCCAGACTGAACCTTTCAAACCCCAAGTCAGTCTGGTGGCAACTCTCGTCTTCCCACGTCACTCAGAGGAAAAGCCAAAGTGCGTGCTGGGCCCACGCAGCTACCTGGACCCACCCCCTGGCCACCTGCCACCTGTGT